TCCCGGAATTCCGCAACGGAATTGGATCGTATTCAAACGGGATAACTCATCAACACAACACAATAAATGTGGGTGAGGTGGATGGTGTGATTCCGGAATCGGAACCAATTCCCGCAATTCCGGAATCGGTAGGAATTCCGTGCAATTCCGGAATCGGTAGGAATTCCGTGCAATTCCGGAATCGGTGGGAATTCCGTGCAATTCCGGAATCGGTGGGAATTCCGTGCAATTCCGGAATCGGTGGGAATTCTGTGCAATTCCGGAATCGGTGGGAATTCCGTGCAATTCCGGAATCGGTGGAACTCGATCAATCTTGACTGGGTGTCTTATGTTGTGTGTCGATCGAGTTCCCGGAATTGGACGGAATCGATTCCGGTGCGGAACTGATTCCTCCAATGTTCAACATCGCGGAATAGGATGCATTCTCGTGTGATTATCTATTATATTCAAGGAAATATTACGAGTATAGTTTTGACTTGTTTCAAGAGTGAAATCATGAAGTAGTTTGGCTTCTGCATACGATTTTAATAAAGAATATACAGAGGATGAAAATGTTGAGAGTAGGTATTGGATATGAATGAGGGTAACGATGAAGTTAACACTCACATCTATGCTCATATTCTTAAGATGGTTTCGTATTGCAACGAATATCATAATTAATATATCAAATACTTTGTTTGATATGGAATACCATATATGTCTTTAATAGTAGGCAGTTTAACGTTGACATATGATTTACACTATATGCTTTTCACTGATCACTTTTATGGTATTTATTAACATAAAGAATGCTTTTTAAACAGAAAATAAAACTATGATTCAAAATTGTTGCAACGAACTAAATCAGATTAAGTATGAAATGTTACATCCGAAAGCTACCACAAAAATATGATTATGATAGTCATTCATTATTGTTTGTAAGATATTATAATGTAGCCAAATACTCATCATCTGCAAGAATAAATAAAAGAAAAGCAGTCAGAATTATGCCATATCACAAGATTTAGTTCATTTGAAAATGATTCAACACTGCGGTTTAGATGAGATTTGTTTATATTACCGATAGGTAAAGTAACACCATTAATCATTTCAGATTTATTTGAGAGTAAAAAGATAGTTAGCTCAACAATATCTTCTACTTCTACAGAAATGAATAGAAATAATTGTTGAAATAAACTATTTGATTTCTACTTATTTTATTTTTCATAGGTATATAATGCTTATTTGTCTTATTTCCATTCATTTCTAGATATTTAATCAAGATTATTATCAAATAATAAAATCTTAACATGTTATTAATATTAAATTAAGTGATTATTCTCTATTTTCATTTTGATCTAAATTACATGAATTCTATTGGTGCTGAAACAATTAAAGTTATTTTCCTATTTGATCAATTTGATGTTCACTATCTATACCAATTCTTTCTATTAATATAGCATCATGAAACTGATCCATATCCTCATTCTATGATCCAGTTAGAATTTACCTTTGAAAATTTTTTTTTATATTTACGTACAATAAGAACAAACACGTTTGATATTTGTCATGAGTCAGTATAGATACACGATCGACATTATCAAAAACGTAATACATAATACACATGATCAATAAATAAGAAATCATTGTTGCATATCGTCAATATAAAAATTTGGTTTTTTTTACGAAAAATAATTTATTTCAAATTAATAAAATTCGTAAATATGATATAGAGATAACCGAAAATCGATGAATAAAGAATAAATTCATATCGTTTATATAAATATATGTTGTTCATCTTTTTTTTTTGTTTTAAATAAAGAGTTAGAATTATTTAGTATTAACGATTGATTCATAACTTGGTGGTGGTTCTAATTCATCGACCATTTGATATGTATTTTTCTCATCATATTTTTCTTGTATTTGATTTTCATGATTCGATTGTGTACCAACAATAACTGGAACACTTACATCAAATTTAGTAAAAAACCCATGAGGTTTTATAGTTAATATTAATTCATATTCAATAATAAGACGATATGGATGATTATGCCATGATGTTTCAAATGAATATGTCGGTGCAATATAATCATTTGATAAAGGTAATTCAAAAGTTTGTTCTAAACTAGCACCATCAAATTCATAAAAACCAGGTAAATCAGCAGATAAAATAATTTCTTTATGACGATCTACAGAAGTCTGTCGATGTTGAATAAATGCCACTTCAATTCGTTTAATTTTCGTACGTTCAGGATTTTGAAGTTTAATTTGAATTGAAAACGATTGACCAGGAATAATTCCATTACGTAAAAGACAACCTTCAAATTGTAATTGTTTTCGATTTTGTTTATTAAAATGAATTGTTTGATAAGAAAGATTTATCTTTGGACAAACTGTAAAAAGATATGCTTGTGTTTGATTAAATTTATACCATGGTTTATCAAGAACAATTCGTATAAGATATCTTACATTAGGATATACTGTTAGATTAGGTTGTGTTGTTGGAGGTAAAGATTCAGGAAGAGTAAATTCAAATGGCCATGTATAATGTCCACGAGAAAGAATCATTTGATCCTAAGAAATAGTTCGATATTTTTGTCAATAAAATTCTGTATGTATAGTTCTTACTTGTACATGATGAGATTGAACTAAAGGTAAACGTGTAGTTAAGAATGGTATATGATGATAAGATGTGTAATTTTCTGAAGTTGATTTACCATTTGTATCATTTTTCGTACGTGTTTCTTGTGTTGTATAACCAAGTTCACCAACAAGCTCAATAAAAATTTCATCTAATTTTACTTTTTCACGTAGATTATCAATTGAAATATTACCGGATACTTGTTCACCAGTAAAATAAAAACGATTTGATCGATTAAAATTTATTCTAATACTAACACTTTCGTTTGCGCCCATTAGTTTTATTTTTATATAATACGATTATAAATGTTATATTCAAAAGAGAAAAAAAACAGCGAAATATATATCTATATAGAAAAGAAAAATAACGTTTTTTGCGTGTACATTACTGATCAGTTAGAGGATATATAGGAATGAGTCATTGCAACGTTTTTCTTCTATCCTTCAAAATAATACGCTGAATATTATATGCACAGATAAATGTAATAATAATCATGTGTTCTTTTTTTCTTACTCTAAAATAAGAAGAGCATTGTGATTACAATAGAAAAACTACATATTTCTCAGTATAGTACTTAGAACCTTTTCGAAGGTGCGAGTGTCTGACGAAAAGAGCATGCCTACAAGATAAATTAGATAATTTATGTTTTTAATGAACTTTATTCGTTAGAAATAAAAAATACTTTAAAAGTGACAAAAAAGAATTATTTATCAAAAGTTATTTTATCATCAAAGAACTTGTTTCAGTCACGATCAATAGCAAATTTTTGTATTCGATGATTATGTCCATCGACAACATAAAGATTACCCTGTTGATCAAATGATAGACTTTGAGGGTTTATTAGCTGTGTGGGCCCCGATCCGGATTCTTTTTCACCAGCGACAGTAGTAGCTTCTATTTTACCTGGCGACCAACGCGTGATTTGATGAGTTCTCGCATTTGACACATAAATATTACCCATATGATCAACAATAACACCTCTGGGTTGAACTAGTGAATTGGGATTTTTGTCAGAAACTTGTCTTGGAGCAATAAGAGTGCCTTGGATTGCATTTTTGTTCCATTTCATCACACGATTATTCAAATAATCTGCTATATAAACTGAATGATCTTTATCGACGAAGATATAATGAGGTTGATTGAGTTGATTAAATTGACTTCCTTGTCCATTCCCACCCGCTACAACTGTACCTTGCCTATCGCCATCGTAAAAACGTCTGACTTGATGTTTATCCCATTCAGAAACATAAAGATCTCCATTATTATCCATTGCCAAGCCCCAGCAAGGAATAACACGTATCATCACCGGGTCGACTTGATTAGCACTATAAAGAGACCATTTCATCACTTGTCGCTTACCATAATTACAAATGATGAGATATTTCTTCTCTTTATCAAGAATTACATCTATTGGGTAATATAATATAATTTCTGGATTTTCAGGTTGATTTTTACGTTGAACAATTTCACCTTTGTCTGCACCAAATTCCCATCTAACAATACGATGGTTGTTTCTGTCAGCAATATAAATACAATGATTATCATCATCAACACGAATACCTAAAGGTCCAAATAATTCATTTGATTGATCTCCAAATGTAGGTCTTCCAGCAACAGTAATTGCATTCTGTTTCCATTTCGTATTATGATTAATGATAACAGATGAATTTAATTGTTCTAGAAAACATTAAAAAATTGTTTCTTGAAAATAAAACATATTTTATTTCATTCTATAGAAGTATAGTATATGACTATGAATTATTGAAGATTCAAATATCTCAGATTGAATAAAGAAACAAGCTAGTTCTAACAAAATCATAACATTACCTTCTATTATCAACACTTCACTGGTCAATATAGTTTCCATAGTAGATTTTTCTGTTGGTGTTGTTATTTTTTCTCTTTTTGTTTCGGTCACTAAAATAATAGTTGTTGAAATAGCTATAATTATTATAGTTAACGTAATGAGAAATACTATCCAAAGTAATTTTCTCCTTCGAAAATGTTCAAATCTAGAACAAGAAATTATTTACATAGTTTATTTTAATGCATAATATATACATACAATCTTTGTAAACGTGTTGTATTAGAATTAACTTCAATAGACTAAAATATTAAAAAAGAAAATAAGATTATTTTATTCTTTCTATTTAATACATTACTTCATCAGGTCCAACTCTGTTACTCATGTTCACAGTTGTTGTTCTATTTAAACTTGAATATTCAATTTCATTATTTTATCAGTTTTGATTTATTCTTACGTGAGTTACAGAAAAACAAGTTTCATCTTAAATAATCAGTTCAAAATATTCTAGCATTTGCAGCAACAAAAAAATCCTATATCAATAGAAAGATTAATTTTATTTCCTTTTTTTTTGCAAAGTTAGTTTTGGATAAAATCTTGACAGATGTCAGTTGTTATTTTGTATTAATGTAAAAAACCTTTCTTGAATAAAAATTATTTGCAACAGCAAGAAAAAGAGAAACTCAGAGAATGACGTAAAATATTGCACAAGATACATTAAGAAGAAGGATTAAAAAGAATAGAATATTTATTGTTATAAATATATTGTCTCTCACACATTTAACACGATGCAGTTCTTTTGGAAAATTTATCCAGATGTTCATTTTTATGAACATTACTTCTAAAAGAAAAAAAAATAAATATTTTTACCACAGTCGCGATATAACTTAATTTAATCATCGATTATTTTCAATATCATTACAACTTTCACACATGAAATATCAAGAAATACTTGTGACAATCATGCTAGATCAAGTAGACATCTTATTGTTCATAGTATAATAGCATATTTCCATAATTCTTTCATTTTACTCAGTTAGATTATCATGATTTTGACATATGCCTGTATACTGTGTGGTGCATGCATTACTTTTCATCATCAATCGAATAAATAAAAATCAATGAAAAAAATGATATTAACAAGTTGCAAATCGAAACATAATAAATAACTAACAAAGAAGAAAATTTTGAGTGTCGAAAAAAAACCATTCTTAATTTCATTAGATTTGATAGATGTAATGTTCTCTATTTATTCACCACGTTTGATGAATATTGCCAGCTATTTTTCCTTTTCTGTTAATGAACGGTCATATCTATATGCGTGTTAAAACGAATTGGACGAGTAGCTCTATCGGCATCGTCGATAAGGCCCCAAACAGAATGAAAAAATGAATTAACGTTCAAACTGGATTAACCAATACGATGACGTGTTATGAGATAAATCATCTTTTAGACGATTTATCACGATAATGTGTCAATTATATCATTTAATTCAACTTTAACGTTAATTCATTTCTCTGTCTGTTTGGGGCCTAATGATATTTATCAATCTATTTTATCCGTCCAGTTGTATTGATATCATTTTGGGAAAAAAGGATTATATATATATGCATCTGAAAAGAAAAAGAAAAATACCCATCTTCAAGGTCAACAAGAAAGAAAAAGAAATTGAACAGTAACGATCATTTATTGATTGAGACATAACTGTTCCATATCTCAAAAGTGCAAAATAATAGTCAGATTGAAAAGGAAATAAACTGATCCTATGGAGAGACATATAGATCTGCGTGGCTGATTATCCTTATTAAGAACGCTTCGAATAATCTTAGAAAGAAGAAAGTCTACTTTTTTTCTGTCATTTTCATTGATAAATATTTATTTGTGTCTATTTTATTAATTTTTGAATGTTTATAGAATCATCTTCGACAGCTATGAATAATCAACATCCACATCCTGGTATCGAACCTGATTTAACAAATTCAATGACATTGGTTTTTCCAGACACTGGCGAAGTCAAACATTTGACCTATGAATATTATAGAGGATCAGCAGGACAACCAAAAACAACTGTTCATTTGCCGACCGGCATCGTCCAAACGGGTGGTGAACCAATGTTTCCTCCCGATTTTCCCGGTGGTATAAAAGAGTGTACTTTCTGACACATCTCAACGAACGAACATTATCTCGTCGTTTGTTCAATAGAACTTGACTGCGTGTTATCTTAGAGTAGTTAGAAACAATTTTCTTGTAAAAATCGTGTTTTGATTAGAGTGTAAATATTGTATCAGTTTTGTTGTACATTTTTTTCTTGCAGTAGTTGTTCGAAAATAAAATAAAGTCATTGAATATATAGTTATTAAACAAATTCTTTCTCAAGAACTAATGTATAAATATCAACAATACTAATCGAGAATAGCATTATTTTTATCGTTTGATAAAACACAGATTAACGTATTTATTTCACTTGATCAATATTTTCATTATCTTCGAGTCATTCTTAATTGAATGCATATTTCATATAGCTACTCAAGTAGACAAAAAAGATATACAGTATAACGTCAATGAATGATCGAAAACCAATATACAGTAAAATTTCTCATAGTGAAATCCTTGGTTTATGAACGGTCTCAAGTCCGATGGAGCGATTTGTGTTGGAAATGCATCTCTTTATTATGAACGGTGAACACCTTTTTTTGATCTCGTCGATGAGCTGCCTAATTCGAATTTGAATATAAATGAACATACAACTGTACAATACTCATTCGAAACTAAATGGTGAAATTTAGGAGTAGATTCAGTTTTAGTTTTACTCTAAGATGTATATAATTCATATATACGACCAACGGGTGGTTGGTAGAAGATGGCAAAGTGGGTGAGGAAGATTTATCTGAAAATTATTCTAAAACTAAATCTATTCCTAGAAATAGGTATTAATTATTTCTTTTTTTTTAATATTCGTTTATATTCGAACTCGAATTAGGCAGCTACTCAAATAAAGTATTTTTAATAAAAACTACATGAATAACATGAAAACTTTAAGATTTTGTCAGTCGAAATTGTAATATAGTTTTTATACAGATAAACTAATGTATGGTTTGAAAGGTCTTGAAAATAAATGTGGATTTTGATACAATAAATTCAAAGAAGAAATCAATATTAGCATACGTTTTCAACTCAATAGTTTTACTAGTTTTTACCACATAGAAATAAAAATTGTATTCAAAACCTTTTATTGAAACTTTGTGTTGTATCGATTGGCAAAAGAATTACAGAAACTAGAAAAAGAATCTGAAACGGCTGTGTCTACAAAATGAATGATGAATTAGATTATTTATATTTTTAATGAACTTTATTCGTTATTAATGAATAACACGTTACAAGTCACAAGAAAAGAATTGTTTGTCAAGAGCCATTTTATCATCAAAAACTGTTTCAATCACGATCAATAGCAAATTTTTGTATTCGATGGTTTTTTAGATCGACAACATAAAGATTACCCTCTTGATCAAATGACGAATCGTGAGGGTTCTTGAGCTGTGTGCGTTCGCTTCCCGATTGTTTTTCACCAACGACAGGCGTCCCTTCTACTGCACCTGGCGACCAACGCGTTATTTGATGACTACCGTCACTTGACACATAAATATTACCTTCATGATCAACAATCACACCTTTGGGACGCACCATTGTATCAGGATTTTCATTAGAAACTTGTCCTGGTGCAACAAGACTGCCTTCGTTTGCATTTTTGTTCCATTTCATCACACGATTATTCATATCATCTACTATATAAAGTGAATGATCTTTATCGACGAAGATATACTTAGGTTCATTGAGTTGATTTAATTGATTTCCTTCTCCATTTCCACCTGCTACAAGTATACCTTCGTTATATCCTTGCTGCCAACGTGTGACTTTTCCTTCTGTCCAGTCAGAAATATAAAGATCTCCATTACTATCCATTGCTAAACCGAAGCAATAAATACTGGGTATCAATACTTGACAATCCTGACTATTTTGAAGAGACCATTTCATCACTCGTCTATTTTTATAGTCACAAATGATGAGATATTTCTTCTCTTTATCAAGAACTACGTCTGTGGGTTGCGTTAACTGATCCATTTCATTTCCCGGTCCATTTCCACCTGCAACAAGTGTACCATTCTTTGCACCAAATTCCCACCTAACTATACGATGGTTGTTTCTGTCAGCAATATAAATACTATGGTCATCATTATCAACATGAATACCCCAAGGCTCATTCAATTGATTTAATTCACTTCCCGCTTCGTGTCCTCCAGCAACAGTAATTGCATTCTTTTTCCATTTCGTATTGCTACCAATGGTAACTGAATGAGGTAGTTGTTCTATAAAATATTTCTAAAAAAATAGTTTCCTTTCTTTTCTTTCGATCTAAGAATTATTTCTTAAAAATAAAATATGTTTTGTTTTATTACACACAATGTTTTGATATCACTGCATATAAATTACGAGAATGTAGGTGTGAGTATAGACAGATGAACTATGAATTCGATACTACATTCTCATTCAACTTTTAATGAATCTTTCGATATTCTTCTATAGAAGTATGACGTATGACTGCCAATTATCGAAGATTAAACTATTCTATGTGATTATTCGAATAAAATATCTAAGATTGAAAAAGAAAATCTAATTTCTCTTTTATAAATTCTTTGAAATAGGAAACGAACTAGTTTTAAGAAAATCATACCACTTGTTGTTGTTGTTGTTGTTGATGATGATGACGTTGTTGTTGATGATGGTATTGATGATGATGTTGATGTTGGTGTTGGTGTTGTTATGTCCATTATTGATATTTTTTCTCTTTCAGTTTTGTTCATTAAAACAGTAATTGTTACAACAGATATAACTACATCAATACAAATAACAAGAAATACTATCCAAAGTAATTTTTGCTTTTGAAACTGTGCATATCTAAAATAAGAAAATCTTTTGATAATTTATTTTAATCCATAATATATACATACAATCTTTTTAAACGTGTTGTATCAGAGTTAACTTCTACGGACTAAAATATTCAAAAATAAAATAAGACTATTTTTGTTTTTTAATACATTACTTCATCAGGTCCAACTCGATTACTCATGATCACAGTTGTTGTTGTTGTTTTATCAGAATTTGAATACTTTGACAATCTAAAAACAAGAAAAAAAACTCTTTTTCTTCAAAGATCAATAATCGGTATTGATATAATTGTAAACGAAATAAATTATCTCTCATCGGATATTCAATTTCATTAATTAATCAGTTTTAATCGAAATGAAACAATGTTAAAATAAAATTTTGATTTATTCTTACGTGAGATAATAACAAATAAGTTTAAAATATGATATGTGTTTCTCTATTTTTTCTCAATTAAATAGAAATTATTTTGCATGAGTTAAATAAAAACAAGTTTTATCTTAAATAATCAGTTTAGAATATTGCAGCATTTGGAACAACAAAAAAGATTGTATGTCAATACAAATATTAATCTTATTTCCTTTTTTGCAAAGTCAGTTTTTGAATAAAATATTTATCATGATATTTTTAGAAAAGTAAAAAAAGAAAGTCAGGGAATGACGTCAAATGCTGCATAGAACACATTGAGGAAGAATAGAATATTTATCTTTTAGGAATATTTTGTACCTAACATTTTCAACAGGATTCATTTTTTTTGGAAAACTTTTCCAGATGTTCATTTTGATAAACACTCGACTTCTAGAAAAAAATACATTTAATGACGTCTTCATAATTTTCTGTCGATTATTTATCGTTCTCTTCTTTGCAACGTCACATAATGAATCATTTGCATGTTCATAGGTAGTATAAGGTGAGATATATGAAGAAAATCTCTATTCTTTTAAGTATTCAAACGATCAAAACTGTGAAATAATTGGTATGTCATTGGAAAAAGCTAATACAGAAGATAGCGTTAGCTAACTTCTTTGAATGATAGTTATGATCGGAATGAACATTGAATCTGAAAGTTTCGATGGAGAATTTTCTGATAATGAGGTAGAGTGAGAATCGGATGAAGAATTTTTTGGAGAAGCATGCACTTGTCAAAGAAATAACTTCTGTATCATAAAATAATATAATCGATTGCTATCGACATTTCATCACAGGGTATGGGTATTTGTGTAATACGAGTAGTATCCACACGTACATCCTCAAACAAAATTGCATTCGATTTATATCAATCATAAAAGAGTATTTTATCACGAAAAATTTTGTTGAAAACCATCTTTTAGTTCTTTTTTCTATAAAAAATAATTTTCTTCGTATTTAATGGGCATTTCTCTTAGCTATGACTCTTTAACTTAATTTTTTCTTCTAGATATCATATAGTCCGTACAATTCTTCATAATACTAACTATATAGGTTCTCCCGACAAAACAGATTTCAAATCATTCTAATCGATCTTTTGCAGGATCGTTTCTTATTCAATTTTATAGAGAATTATAAAGAATATCTTTTTACATAAAATTCAAATCAAAGCGTGAGAAACTAAGAGAAATACCCATAAAATATAATGAGCAATTTATTCACTATGAAAAGGGATCAAAATATATGACTTTGATAAATTTTTCATCGATTTAATATTCGCTTAATGTTGATGGAAATTAAAATACAATTATTTTTAATTGATATTTGAGATTTTATGCTTCAAATAAATATATATAATGCGATATATTATCTTTTCTAGTTAAATACAAAATAACAAAATATTTTGTATTTTTCAGGAAACTTTGCATTTCATTCTTCAAATTATGATTTTCCATGTTGTTTTTTATTAAGAATAACATCAAATTTATTCTGAAATGGTTTGTTTTCATATCCTTCCTTCAAATTTTGAATATCATGAGCATTTATTATATTAACATCTGACGATAAGTGACATTTAGCATATGTTTATGCACAAATGAGTTTTGCAAAAAAGAAATAAATTTATTCTTTTTTTTGTTTATCAATTATTTCAATGGAAAAATATTTTACATTGACGTCATTATGTAGGCGAATAGAAAAAAAAAGCTTGTTGTTTTTATGATTTTTGGTTTTGAGTCAGATGTTACCGGATTTTTCTATCACTAAAACAAGTTATTTTAAGAACTGAATTAAAAAGAGAAACTTGTTTTCATTGAATTTTATAGAAATAAGTATTATAAGAAAAAGTAAAGTTTGGTTAATAAGAACAAACAAAAAAGATCTCTTAGGATCGTGCATCATTTTTGATTGATGAAAACATATTTTGTTTGACATCTTGTGTTATGTAAAAATATATAAAAAAAAAGTTAGCAAATGTCAAAAGTTTTTTGAATATCATTCATCTAACGAATAATGATGAATACAAGAAAATATATACAGCAATGAAATAAAGAGTAGAGAAAATCATTTAAATATATTTGTCTCTTCTTTAATAATTAACATAGATCAATTGAGTAAATATTGAGTATAGAACTTCTACGAAAAACATAGATTTTTAGCAAAAATTAATACCTTTATTATTCAAACGTTCGATAAAAAACTTTTATTATCATCGGGAACAAAAGCAAATACACTCATTATATATAGCTCAATGACTAATTGCACATAGAAGGACACTAAGAATAATTGTAGATGGATGATCATTAGTTATCTACACCCACACTCATCCTTAATCTGTTATTACGTCAGTCAGCCACTGACCTGTCGTGACTATTAATGAATTTTGAAAAAATATCGAAACAGATCAATTATATGAACTAATGAAGCAATACTTTTATTTTGTCTTTGATCAAAAATACTCGTTAGCTTTCTAACGAATAGTTGTTATAATACAATGTTCAATTTTTTTCGAAAAATACTTTGAATATAGTTAAACAATTTTTAATAGTGTTCATGAAATAAATAGTGTCAATTCTATCGATGGTTTTATTGATTGGCAGAAGTCATTTGAGATGTGTGTTCCACAACCTTCTGGAGCATCTCTTCTTGTACCGGATGTTTCTTTGTTACGACTTCTCCTTTATTATCGATAAATTTCCAACCTTTGTCTGTGCCGAGCATTCCATATATCATATATTCAGCACAATCTTCTGGAGAAACACCTAAACCGGCTGCTAAGGCAGCTTTCATTGGTAATCGCGCATAGAATGGTAAACTATTGGCTAGTGGAGTTTTAACTCCGCTTGGATATGCATGTATAAATGCTACGTTTGAATTTTCTGGTTGTGAACCGTAGTATTGTATAATGATATCAGTAAATGACATCGCATGATTGGCAGCTGCAGATAATGAATATGAATTTTCAAGTGACATATCATTCCAGTTAACTTTCGATGGATTGCTTCGTAAACTGTCCAATATAAAGAGTACTTTGCCACCAATCGGAGATGATCGAAGTAACGGAAGGAGTTCTTTCACAAACAGAGCTCGTCCATAGTAATGCAAAGCCAGTTTATTATCGATATTTTCCGTTGTTGGAGTACGACCGGCCAATGTCAAGATACCTTGTGATAATATAAGCATATCGACGGCGTCGATTTTCTTTGTAGCAGCTCGAATTTCAGACATGAGAGATACATCAGCACGAATGAACTTTGATTTTGAACCTAATTGCGATAATATTTCATCAGCAGCAGATTGATTTCGTCCAATAATGGTGATCGAAGCAGACGGACAATGTTGACCTATTGAAAGGGCAATTGCACGACCAATGCCTGATGTGCCACCGACTACAACAACGTTTGGTGGTGATTTCAAAGATGATAAAGTACGAGCATTAAATGCAGAAGCAGCTTGTACGGCACAAGACATTGTGATATATAATTTCAAACAGACGTTCAGAAAATTTAATCAAAGTTTCTGGTTAGATATCTAAAAATATATAAATGATCTTATACTATTGCGTCCTCTATAGAAACGAACGTTTTCTCTACAAATAGCTTATTCAGAAAATACTTAACATCTGTTTTCCATATTTTATAAACAGATACACCTGAAACTCTTTTTCTAAAATCCTTAATAATATTAGTATATGAGTTAACAAACAACAAAGAAAATCAATAATCTAATTAACATAATTGTAATGAGTCATAGTACTTTTAATTGCACACTTACTAAAAGAGACACAATTATGAAAACATGAGGGCTGAGTGAATCATCCATTCTAACCTCTAAGAACAAATTGTAATTCATGATTCCATTCATATAAAAAGTCCATCGCAAAGTTTATCTTTAAAAGACGATGAAACAAAAAATTTTTCTGATGAAAAAAAACCTTGTAAATGATGACGAGACAAAAAAATTAGAAAAAACTCACTCATGCTATTTTGCTCTTTCTGATAGACCACTGATGTTTGTGACAGAACGAATGAAAAAAATATCTCTATAATTACAAGAGAGGGAGCAGTACATCATACTTGCTTTTATGCAATGTAATACAGAACAGAAAAAAAAAGAAAATTCTATGACTAATGCCTCCTAGGAAAAAACAGTGCTGAAATTGACAACTAAAGATTGTCGCAAATATTGAAAAAAGAACAAGTTTATGTTCATGTTCTTTTCTGTTCTACATGCCGAACAAGATCATAATTGGAGCATATTTCATAATAAAGTCATATCATATTTATCGCATGTGATTGATGCCAAACAAATTCTTTTGGTTTTCGTTTAACTTTCCAAAGGCACTTCTTCATATTTATTTATCAACGTTTGTTTGATTATCATCGACAGAAATGAAGATCATTTTAAATATTAGACTCAGTTCAATAGCGTATCAGTAAACCTCTACAAAATCTGAGCTCAAGATAGATCAGCAAGCGAAAAACAAAGACCAGCGTATTTATTCTGAAACGATTCGATTATTATCCGTCTGCCAACCTTATCTGTCGAATAATTTTTCTTCAATAACCAAAATTCAATTAATTCCTAATAATAATTATTCTCTTGTGAATGACATTCTTGATCTACCCAATCAAAGATTTCATATAGCATACTTAACATTGATTTGTGCTTCTCGAGTTCAGTATAAAGTTTCAAGTTCTGAATCATTATTCATGTTTCTGTCTTACAAATTTCCATCAAATAATTTCGATTTCCCACTTCATAAACCAAACAATATAGTTTTACTTGTTTCATGGAACTAAAGTCCACTGTTTCGTTTTATTTCATGAGATATGATAGATATTCGATAACATGATAATGATCAAGAAGATAATGAAATAAACAATCAAACAAGTGTCATGCGATCTTTTGTTGATTAAATTACGTTTAGAGGTGTAAGCCGTCGACTTCAGCAAAAATCGACTGACGGCTTACACCTCTAATTACGTTCAATAGGAAGTAATATCCGCTTATCTAGCAGGTCAAATATACTTTCGTCGAGAACGTCTGATTTTTCCACTATTCATTGTTCGAAAGAAAATATATTTAAGTGAATAAATCAAATAACATACAATCATTCGATATTCTCACATTGACATAAGAATTCAATTATAGAAGAAAATTTGTTTTTGATAATGAATTGTATAATAAAATCAGGATCGGTCAATATGATACTTTATCAGTTCAATTATACTATGGAAGCATCAGCAAATAATGATAGATGCTCATATGCTATTCTTTTACTGGTCTTACTGACTTTTATCTTCGTTGTTTTTATGATATGGATCTGTTGCAATCTTTATCATTGTCTCCATACAAATCCTGCAAAAATACATAATCTTCATAATCAGAAGCAGTTTCAAGAAGAAATTAAGAATCATTGTTAAAACTTCATAAAAAAAATTAGGTCTTTTTTTTCTATTTGTAAATATACTAGTTTTTGAAATAAATAACAATATTCATACTGAATTTTATTCAAAACGATTTTACTCTGTGCACTGAACATAGTCAAAACAATAGATGGAAGAAGCATTAAATGGTAAAAAGGGCTCGCTATTAAAGTTTTATCAGTTTAGGTCGCACAAATTTATTTCCATGAGAGTTAGACGATTTGGTATTGATTTCTAAAATTAGAATTCAGTACGCCTGTTCATCTTCATTAGTATGCTTCCATCAATACTGATATTAGTAATCACGAAAGTGATATACAATAGAGTCAGTTTTACAAAAGCTTGAGGGATTTTCTCCACTATCTCAATCTTATCATTAAAATAAATATCAGTCACAGTTCTGAGAGCAAGCAACTCTGTTTTATTTGAGAAAATGTATCGATTACAAATATTTATGTAGCAATTTGACTTTATCCATATAGCAAAAAGTTAGTTTATACTGTATCAGTTATTGAAATTGAACTCTAAGTGTCTAACTAAACGGTTGCCAAGTTTCAAACATTTTTTAATGTCTCATCGAGAAATTTCGAGATTCTTCTGTCATTCTTATGAGTATCAGTTCAGAAAGCAATAACAACTCTGAACTTGAATCAACCACCACTATAGTTATTGGTTTCGTTTGAAAAAAACCATGTAGATTGTGCATCTAATATAAATCTTTTTTTGTTTGATTCAAGTAGTCTTTTAAAAGAGAATGATAGTGCGATGACGTTTGTACCTTCTTTAAGTATTATAACTGGCAATGAGATGCTATACACCACACAAATAAATATTCTCTGTGTTACTTTATTTCTGTTCTTATCACGATTCAATATCGAATCGGAAGTGGATAATAAATGAAAAGCTTCAGTTAGTTTTTAACACTTTAATAGTGTACAATCAAATATAAAATAACGTCGGAAAGGAGAACGGCAAAATAAAGAACCATTTTCGGAGTATGAGTGTAGATAACCAATGAATATCCATCCAAACGTACATCCTCGAAGTATCGCATAGATGTTTTAACTACACTTGAATTATACATGACCTCTGATGATACCTTGAAGCCGAATTTCTCATGCCGTGTGATAGTTAATTAATTAATTAAAACATGTCACGATCTGCAATACTTTATAATAGCCTTTGAAATCTATCTTTCACGTTTGTGGATGAGGAAGAGGGGAGGGGGAGGGGGAGGGGGGAGGGGGGAGTACAGTGGATTCAAATTTCTACCCTTAAACACTTCAACACTCTTTTAGATTCTGTTTCACAAAAGCACTTGGAGACAAACTCTTCTTTTCACACACACATAGAGGATATACATATGAAAGAAAAGAAGGAAAAAACCAAGAGAACACACTAGGGAATCTATATGATAAGAGAGTGAAGAAAAGAAAAAGAAGAAATATACAACATAAGTGAAACATACTATAACATACAGCTACCTGTTATCTGTATATTACACGGCAGTCATGAGTTTATTCTCACATAATTTCACTTTCTTGCGTTACTTGGTGGTATACGTCATCGGAGAAGAAGTACAGCCGTTTCAACTTAATGACGCAATTCTCTCTTTGTATATAAATACATGGTATCTTGCGCTTATTTCTCTCATCTCATATTTAAAAGAAAAAACGTATTCGAAGCGTTCTTCTTCATGAGACCTAGTACCGTTTACTTTGGTTTAGAAAAACGCATGCATCAGAAAGTACAGCAATAACATTAAGCGGTGCCTCCGGTCAACTCGATGGTCGTTTTTGATTCATCTTGGCTCGTTAGAGAGCAGGTGTATGACACTTCGCAATTCTGGAACTGGTTCTTTTCTCGAGAACTATGCCGACTAGTAACTACAGTACAATTGCCTTGGTTATCCGTTACATTGGTTTTTCAATTTATAGGAGATGCATATCAGATTAAAGCTCAGTTTTTTTTACCTTAAAGAATTTGACTTTTTCAGATTATTTGCTAATGGTAGTTCGTTTCGGTTCTGCTTTCTGATAGGAAACTGTCATACACCTATTGGAGAACACCCCCCCCCCCTTTCTTCGTTTTCTATTTTCTCATTTTTTTCAACTTTTTCTCTTCCAGACTAAGGTGAAGTGATATATAAATGAATTTCTTGAGTATCGAGAGCTCCATAGATTCTCTGAGTTCTTTAGGGTTGGTCTGTTTTTGACAATGACTACTTATTTTGTAGGCTTTCTTCCCTCTGAATTCTTCAAGTGTTCAGAATTCATAGAATTTGCGCACTGCTGCTTTATTTAATTCACTCAGGGAAATCTAAATCTTAAAAATGCTTGATTTATTATCTATAGTACATATTTATTGTTTATTCTTTTTGTAAGAGCATACGAAAAAAGTTCTAATTGACATTTAACACTTTTTTTACAGATTTATACAATAAGAAAAACAAATATGACACTTCAACTCATTCCGAATAGTGATCTCATTTTTCAAGGTCCTTTTAATGTTGTTTCAGTAACAACACTCAAACTATTTAATAGTGGAAATGAACGACTTGCTTATAGAATAAAAACAACAGCACCCAAACGTTATTGTGTTAAACCAAATATTGGCTTTCTTGATGCGCATACTACTGCTAATATTCAGTGTAAAATATATCGAACTATTTTTTAAAGCTTTATATTTTAATTTTATTTTAGTTATGTTAGAACCGCAAAAACCCAACCAACCTGATGATCGTTTTAGGCATAAATTTATGGCACAATGGGCTACTGTGCCAAATGATCATACGGATGATACAGATAGTTTTGTAAGACAATATCCCATGTAAAAACTTGTATAAACTTAACGATTTAACAAAATTTAATGTTACGTTTTTGATCATGAAAACGCGTTAAAAAAGTGGATTTAACGAAGTCTCATGCATGTTTTCTCGTTAAAATGACATTAACGTAAAATAACTTGTGACACTTCATTAAAAAGCAGTTTTTTAACGCGTTTCAGAGTCAAAAAGATAACATTGAATTTTGTTAAACATCGTTATTTTCTAAATTTCAACATGGGATTAAGCAATCACATTAGATTATTTTCTTTTTGTTTTTTCTAGTGGAAGCAAGATTCTAAAAATATTATTATTCAAGATTTAAAATTTAAATGTGCCTTTGTTGATGAACAACAAGCAGCAATCGTATCTAATAATTCACATGAACATCGTCAATTAGATGCAGTAAGTCATTAAAATACAATTATTCTGAATTCATTCTTTAGTAACAAAATAATCGTGGGTGTGGGTAACTGATGAACATCGATCACCCCCACATGCATTTTAGGCTATAAAAAACGTTTTTTTTTCTAGAGAAATATGGACACATCAATAACAACATCGTCGTTAGTATGCCCAATAACGTTTCAACTATTTCATGAGCCAGTAGTGGCTGAAGATGGACACACGTACGAACAATCGGCTATAATTGAATGGGTCCAGAAAAACCATACAAGTCCAATTACCCGTCAGCCACTGAGTATCGGTAAACTTCGGCCAAACTATACTATTAAAAGCATGGTGCAAGAATTCGAAACAAAAATACGCTCGACAAACTATCGTTTTAAGTTGAATAGTGATGTAAAAAAGGGTCGAAAGACATTATTTCAATCTACTGGTAAAGTAATTTTTGAGGCTAGTTGGTTAACAAAAATAGATGGTCCTCCAATCGTTTTATTGAAGATAAGTGGTGTAAAAGCTCAGAATGAAGCTGTTTTCTACACAGAACTAAGTCGTCATCCGCATATTCTTCGTACATACGGTATTATTGACGAAATATCGGTTAGTCCAAATTCTGTTATGTTAGTTCAAGAGTATGCACCTGAAGGAAGTCTATATGAAGTACTTGAAGATGGAGAATCACCGCCGAAAGAATCTGTTTTAGGCGAAATATCTATACAATTAGCTGATGCTATGTCGTATTTGGCTCACAATAATATTATTCACGGTGATCTAGCATGTCGAAATGTACTTGTTTTTCGTTTTGACAGATTAATCCCACAAAATAATCTAGTAAAATTAACAGATTTTGGACTTAATCATGCAAGTTCTACGTACTTAGCTATGCCAGAAACATCATCAATATTAAATGTGATTCCTTTACGTTACGCGGCGCCAGAAATACTCAGTAATGGTAATTCGAAAGACTCATATACTGAAAAGTCAGACATGTATTCGATGGGTGTTCTCATGTGGGAAGCTTATTCAAAGGGAGATATCCCTTGGTTAAACATCGAAAAAGATGATGAAGTTTGTCGTTTGGTAATTGCTGGAAAGCAACTCGAACGTCCAACATCATGCAGTGTTGAACATTGGTCCATTATTTCCGAATGCATGTCACATCAACCACAAAATCGGCCGACATTCAAGATCTTGAAACAACAGTTGATCGAATTACAATGTCGAAAGTCTTTCGAAAAGATGGCGCATATAAATCTCCTAAGTCAAACAGTTAAGAAGCTATCATCGAAGATACCATTAATGATTAAGACATTACTTCGACGCACAGACGGAAGCTTATATGAAGGAGAAATGGTAAACGGCAATATACATGGAAAAGGGATTCTTATCAATGAAGATGGTGCTCGATACGAAGGTGAGTTCAGAGATGGTGAGCCTGTTGGTCAAGGTGTAATGAACGACAAGAATGGTACTCATTTTAACATAGAATGGAAAAATGGCAAAATGTACGGACGAGGGGTGTCTGTTTTACCGGACGGTGCTAGACTTGAAATTGGAATAAACGAGAACGAACCAGACGGACAAGCAGTTATGACGACCTTAGATGGAATGCGATTCGAATTTCGGTTTAGTAATGGTGTACCGACTGGATCATTCATAATATCAACAGCTGGTGGAGCTCGTTTAGAAGCTAAAATTGACGGAAACGATATTTCAGAATGTATATTGAATTTCCCAAATGGCGATAGATATGAAGGCCAAGTTAATAAAGAAGACTTCAGCGGATTAGGAATTTTCACAACTTGCAATGGTGATCGATATGAAGGGCAATTTTATTGCAGTAAAGCGCATGGACGTGGTACAGCCGTTTGGAAAAATGGTAATAAATACGTTGGTGAATTTTCAAAGGGCAAACTAGAAGGAAAGGGCATTTTCACATTTCCTAACGGTGTTACAGTCGAGGGTCAATTTAAAGAAAATACATTAACTGGGCGACACTTAATGTCGCGTGCTGGATGCGAATCTCATGAAGTTGTAGCTACCCATGATGCACTTGGTGGATATGTTACATTTAGATTTCCAGCGAGTGAACCGCTGGAATCTCTTTTTGAATTCAATAGATACTCCAAGGAATTTGACTGTTATTTATCTTGACCTCCTCATTGCTCTACTTGCTAAATTTCATATTCAAGAAAAATTTGTATTCTTAATATATAAAATAAAAATATCATAACATTTTTTGTAAGCCTCAACATACATTCTATAGCTTACAGTCATATTTTGTCAATGATTATCATCATCTCCTTAGTCCTGAGCAGTCAACCTAGCACACCTGTAAACTGGTCATCCATAATTGAATATTGTCTACGGAGACGTTGAACGTAAAATTTTTATTCAACTTCCATCGTTGAGAATGGCTGATGAGCCATTCACGCGCCACTTTTGACGATTGATTGGAACTGCCAAAGATGGATTGTGATGGGTCGAAGGAAAACTTTGCTATTGATAAATATTTCAATCGATCAATGAATAAAAACAAATCTTCAGGGCGTTTTATCATTATATTCAAGCGTTCTAGTCGAGGAAAGCAAGTACATAATTGTTCGACATTTAACTGTAACGGAGCGATGCTGCGGACGTTTAAAATACGAATTTTCTCAATGACAATATCATTTCCTAGGCAAGCTAATGGTGATAAGTTCCAGAATGAAAGCGAATGCAAGTAAGGCATATCTTGAACGAGCTCGGAAAATGAAGGTGATACAGATTTGATTTCATTTTCGTTTATTTCGAGCACAAGTTTTGTAATGTTAACAAAACGATAAACCGATGGATTGAGTAATTGCAAAGTGAGACACTGTACGTATTGATCGAGACACAGTTCATATGATGTACATTTTAGTGGCTTATAACTTTGTGAATATATGATGTTGTTGGGTGCAAAACGGGGTACGGTAAAGATAATCGATTGTTGATCATCAAAGGCAACGAACCAATGTTTTTGCTCTAGCCAGAATGGCGAACAGAATGAGTCGAAAACGTTTGTGTTGGACATCGACGACAAATAATTCTTAAAATGAAAACGAAAGTTAAATGTGATCAGATGTGAGATGAGCGATTCCCATTGTTGACCATCAATAAGGTCCTCGTTCCCTTCGCTCTCGAGTTCGAAATATTTTAAACGAGGTAATTTATTCAAAAATTGCTCGATTAGCGTCATTGTTACATTTCCAGCTAAGCATAAAAAATAGCAATAAATAATTACTAAATTATGTCATAGACTTACAATAAACCTTCAGTATCAGTTGGTTCAAATGTGTCAATGATGGCATTTGATCAGCCCATTGCGTTGATAAATCCAGTGTAATTGTGATAGAAAGTGAATGAAGGTTAGATACATGATGAAATATAGTTGGTATGTGCAAAGAATGACAATGCACGAGAGTCAAATGACGCATATGTTGCAGTTGATTAGTAAGAAGATAATTAGTATCGTGAACCATAAACTGACTGAGTTGAGGAACTAAGTTTTCGATAATAGAATCAAAAAGTATATCATACGGTTTAAGAAGACGAGGCAACTTGAGTGATAATAAAGACTTCAGTTTGTGCAAATTGAATAATCGTTTGAATATTTTTCTATCGACTGAACTTATGTCGAGTGAACGAAGATTGACAAATTGCTCGATATTGAAAAGTGAAAAGAATAGCTCAGATTGATTGGGTGTTTCCTCGTCGTCTGATAATGTAAGAGAAACGATATGATCAGGTGTAATGTAACGACAGATGTCATCGAATTGAGACTTAAGAATAGAACGGAAGTTGACTGAATACCGATTGTAATTAAATACGACTGCCTCGAAATAGCCATTCAGATTAAAAAAACCATAAAAAATCTCATGAGCCCAAAAGTAATCAAAAATATAATGGAGTAATTCAACGGGCAACACGTCTATTTTCGTAGGTACCATAGTGAGCTGATGTTGATTCATATAAAAAACGATATTTTTCTACAAAATGAAAAGAAAAAAAAACTTGTAAGACGATCGACCAACCTTTACACGTCGATGATGATGCCAAAATGTATGCTTACACATTTTATTTTTTCTTCGTTCTTTTTTCATACAGATTAACCGATAACAGAACGAAAATGTGCCATGCCACTTCCATAGCCTTTTTAAATTGAGTGAAAACAAATAAATATATCATCTCGTTTTTTTAACGATTCTAGATGCATCATAATATGAGATTTAATGCCATAACGTTTACTATCTTTGTAAATATTTATTTCAAACAAGAACTTTATTTCTAACGCTATTAATTATTTAATTTTCTCGAAATTTTTGATTTCATTGATAATCTATATTGAAAAATACTACATTCTATTTATATGTTTAATCAACTATTCTTTCTGTTGTTCCTTTTATCTTTTTTCATGAAAAGAAACGTTAAAAGTAGATACATCATTAAAGAAATTAGTGTATAAAAATCGACTTTGCTTTGAAGTGCTGATGAGCTGAAATCGTAAATTGTCTACATCCACAAAAGTCATAAACTAATTGCGTCGCATTATATTCACGTGTAGCATAGAGCAAGGAAGCAGAAAATCAAATATCATTGCACAATGAATATAGAGGATTATTCAATTGTATTTGACTGAAACAAGAGAAGTTGATGATGAGAGCGATCACTTTCAAAAAAACATTTCATTCTAAGGCACCTATTTAAGTGCTAAGTAAAATTTGTATATACTCGGTAAATAAATTGAATGCTCATTTAAAGAACACTCATCCTATTCCGGAAAGTTACACATTCAGGAATTGTTGGTAAAAAATACATTTTAGCAACTAAAAACCATAAATTTGAAAAGTAAATACAAATGACAGGCAAGTCGTTATTTTGCGTTCGTTTCTTTTTACACACATCACATATACTTGAATTTTTGAGGGTGGGTGGGTGGGTGTCGATATTGTATTCGCACTACACCGAAAAGCAACCAAAGTATTACTAATCGATTAACTGTTCGATCAAATTTTTTATTCATATATTCTATATTTATTACTTAACAAAAATTATTTTTTTTACTTCGCAAAAACTATTTATTTACTTAGTAAAAATAGAATTTTTTACTTAGCATTTATATGTTGTTATTTAGCACTTAACTAGATGCCATTAATAAAATTAAAAGAAATTTTTCCGTTTATGCATGATTATCGTTTTATCTAATTTAAATGAGTACGTAAAAAGATTAATTTTTCCAAAAAAATGCTAGAAGAAAATGCGCAGTTATCTTTCATGACGCTTGTCATCAGATCAAAGACAATTATATTTTTAATTTCAGAATTATTTTTATACTTTTCGAGAACTAATTCCAATAGTTTCGAACGATATGTTGGTTAAACATAAAAAACTAATCAAACAATCTGGCGAGTGATTCGTGAAGAAAAGATCTGTAAATGACTGGGATGATCAGTACATTCCTTTCGCTTTCATTTATTTATATGTCAGAAACAGATATAGCAAAAAGAAAAAGAAGAACGGATTCTGTCAAGTGTGAACTAGAGATGAGTGTCGGAAAAAGTATTTTTTTCTAAATAGAAAATTTTAATGAACGTAGAATAAAGATAAATATCATAAGTAAAAACTTCATTTCTAACGTAGCAGATTAAATTTACATGTGAAAATGTCTTCTTCGTTAACATTTATTGGAAAAATGATCACTATCTATACCGGAATACCACTCTTTATTGCTGGTGTAATAGGAGAATTTCTCAATATTATTGTATTTTTAAGTCTTCAAACATTTCGACAGAGTTCATGTGCATTTTATCTAACCATCATATCCGTTATGAATATTGGTCAATTATCTACGGGACTTCTCGCAGTGATTACCAACGCTTTATTTGGTGTCGATGGAACTCAAGCTTCACTATTCTATTGCAAATTTCGACCATATTGTTTTCAAACTTGTGCATTAAGTTCATTAGGAGGCTTCTGTTTAGCCACATTTGACCAGTATTGTGCCACTTGTGCGCATCCTCGTTGGCAACAATGGTGCAGTATCAAACGAGCTAAACGTCTCGTTATCATCAATATAATCATTTGGGCTTTGCATGGAATTCCATATTTAATCTTCTTTGAGCAGATTCTATCATCGACCACAGGACAAGTTAGTTGCACTAGTAAAAATCCTACTTTTGCTTATTATCGTTCCTATGTTATCATTTTCATACTCTTCGGCATTTTGCCTATGAGTATTTCAGCTGTATTTGGACTACTGGCATATCGAAATGTGCAAGAACTTAGTTATCGCACACTACCAATCGTTCGACGTGAACTAGATAAACAAATAACAACAATGGTTTTAATTCAATTAGTTGTAAATGTTTTCACTCTATTACCAAATACTATTGTCAGTACACTTTTAACAAGTCCAAATATTCCTAGTAATGCATTTAATCAATCATACATACAGTTTGCCTATACTATAGCTGTTCTTCTCAATTATTCTTATTTTGCGGTAAGTTTTAAATAGTATATATATATCAATTCACATTAATCGATTGGACATTTTAGAGTTCATTCTATATATACATCTGTGCATCTGAAAGATTTCGTAAACAAGTGGCTTATGTATTGATCAAAGTTCACTTAGAACGATGGAGAAAACCACAATTAGTGAACAATCAAGTTCGACCAGAGTCCTAATCAATGAACCTGATTCAGATTTATATTGTATTAGATTTCATTTTTATTCGATGTATAATCAATCTTGTGTTTGTCAGTATACTTTATATAAATCACTAAAATAAACAATCACTATAGATGTTCAGTAGTTAACTATACTCTCAAAATAGTTTTACATAAAGCGTTGTTTTAATATGTTATCATATTACTTATTTTTTTCAACATCTCATAAATTCTTTTTTTTTGAATATTACATTGTAATATGATACGTATATCAACCTTTCTATCAAATATTTGAATTATTACTAAAAAAATTGTATACTTAATATGCATAACGATCGTACTGTATGTTTGCACGATAAATATTTGGATTTGTTTCTTTCTGCCCCATTTTATAGCTCAGTTCTCACATTTTTACTCATACTCTCTGTTATAAACTACAGATTATCGAATTCATTTATCAAAAGATAAGAACGAATAAGAAGTAAGAGCTCTTTTTCATCGACAAATACTATGAGATGATTTGAATTACATTTAATAATAAAATGTTCTTCATGTCATATTTTGAAAATGCCGCCATTATATATAATGAGATAAACATCAGAGGTGAATATATTTAATTGTAATTACTATACACACATTATTTTTTCTGATATGCTGATTATCTTATTAATATTTTACTCTTCAAATTTCTTTAACCGTAATCAATACATCTGAAAATATTAACTGAAGAAACGAACATGTTTCTCTTAAGTTTATTAATTTCTTTGCTTCTTTTCATTTCGGATGTGTGCAGAATTTTTCTCTGTCAGATGCATAATTAGAAAAAAACGAAAATCAAACTCTTCTATTGACTTAAACAAACAAATATATATTACACTACTTGAAAAAATTGATGAGAACATTTAGGAAGTGAATACTGAGAGCAAAGTAAAAATATGCAAATGTTAAGCTAATTTTTGGTAAGTAAAATCACTGAATTTATTGATGAAAAAACCCATTCGATAAGTCTTTATTTTTTATTCGTTTCTTCCTATATGCATATCGCATGTTTAGTTTTTTTCTGGCATTTTTTTGTAAGTACTCAAGCTCCCTGATGATATTACTCTCATTTATCATTATCATGAGTTTCATGTTTTCTAGATATGCGTATTTATTCAATAAAACGATTATTTCGTATTTGTTTTCGAACTTCATTAAAAAGGCATACTGGTTCTATTAAATATTTATTTTTCTTTCTATTAATTATTTGTATAATTTTATTATTTTATTTTATTGAACCAATATTAAAATTCAATAGTTTCTATTCTTATACATCGAATGATATATTAGATAGATGTATGTTGGATAAAAGTCCATGTTTGCCTGATATTGAACAATCATTAAATCGTTATTTTAATAAATATCAAAAACAATATTCAATGTTATTAACATATCATCCAAAAATTGATTGTGAACATGGTCGTTATTTATTATTAGATAATTCATTATCATCTCGTGTTTTTCATGGTACTGGCTCACAATTAATGTGGTATTTAGGTGTTCTAAATATTGCATATAAATTCAATTTAACATTAATACATTTAGAATGGACTGCTGAACATTCTCAAGATGAAACAAATCTTGACCGAGAAAAATATTGGCAATTTTATCATTGGGAAATACCTTATTCAGCATATGAATTATGTCCAAAAAATTCATCAATTAAACGGAATATATTTCGATATGATTTAATTGCAAATCAAACATTTGATCAATATCATCAAGGAAAACAACCATTTACAATAAAATCTTATTTGAAATTTTTATTCGAAAGTTTTCTATCGAATATGAATAAAAATGATGTAGGTTTTACATTTTATTCTAGTCGAACTCTTACTATTACATCATCATTAATGGAAATGGGCAGTGTTTTTGAAATTCGATGGTGGTTACAACATAGAAAATTATATAAAGAACCTTATGGAGTTTGGTCAGGGATTTCTGTTCGATCAAATTATTTACCAATTGATTATTTTCAATATATATCATCAAATTCATTTATTATTCAATGTCCATCGATTAATATAGATGATAGTTTATTAATTGGTGTACATATACGTCATGGTGATGTTATTAAACGAAATAAACAAGGTGAAATAATATCTGGTGATTTATATCGTTATATTTCAAATTCAGCTTATATTCCATTATTAATTTATCTTATTAATTCATTACCAAATGAAATACAAAATAAATATTTAATTACAATATATAGTGAGGGTGTTATAAATGATTTTGATGATATACTTAAAAGTTTAAAAATTCATTTACCTCAATCACGTTGTCATATATCATTTTTTTTAAATGGACGAACATCAGAAACATTTAATCGTTTATTACGTGATGATATTATTATAAATGCATTAAGTACATTTAGTATGGCATCAGGTATATTTAATAGTCGACAATTTAAATTAGGACCTTATCATAATCGTGGAAGAGTTCATGGTATGAGAAATTTTTTAAGTTTAGATTTAGATAAAAATCATACACAATTTAATATAACAAAAGAAAAAAAACAATTCATTAAACAAAGAATACAATATGTATGGAAACAAAAAAAAGCACAACAAAATACGTTTATTCCATTATGGTTAGAAAACTATTCATCGGATTATCCAGAAGAATTTATGTTAATTTAGACATTTTCTTTTCATTGTAATGACAGACCGATTCGAGCGATGACTTCATTCAGTGAAGAAGTTTAAGTTACATCACTAATGTTATTCTTTTCAAAGAGATATTCAATATGGAGTGATGTATATACAGATAGTTGTGGACATTACGTACGTTTAGTCGTTAGTAAAAAAGCGTTGCAACTTACTGATATTCATTTGTTATTTAATAAAACATCGCGGTTCGGTGCAGTCCGAACGTTTCCTATTCATTCTCTTCTCTCGATTACAATCTAATTTTTCGTTACACTAACTAAAGTGATCGTGAAGATCTTCACTAGAAACTCAATTGTAGAATGTCCATTATTTACTTTTGAAGAATAAATTCCACAAATACAACAAATTGTTTGATTTATTTTTCATGTTAGTCAATTAAATATTTAAAGTATAAAAACTGAGATTGTGAGTGTCAGTGTTAGTACAAAAAATTTAACAACTATATCGATGCCATCATACGTGTATCGGTTAACAAAAAAAACAAAGAAATCTAAAACAATGTGTCTATAAAATAAGTGATAAATTAAATTATTTATATTTTTAATGAACTTTATTTGTTATTAATGAAAAGTATTATTTATTAAAAATTATTTTGCCATAAAAAGCTGTTTCAGTCAAGATCAATAGCAAATTTTTGTATTCGGTAGTTGTATTTATCGACAACATAAAGATTACCATGTCGATCAAATGATAAATCATTTGGGTTGTCTAATTCCATCGGACCGTTTCCAGCGTATCCTTTACCAACGATTTTAGAACATTCCTTTGCATCTGGTGACCAACGCGTTACTTCATGAATTCCCGCACTCGACACATAAATATTACCCATATCATCAGCAGTCACGCCTATGAAGGCACCATATGTATTACAATTTCCTTCATAAGGTTGTCTTGAAGTAATAAAAATGCCTTCGAGTGCATTTTCTGTCCATTTCATCACACGATTGTTACCTGAATCTATTACGTAAACTGTATGATGTTTATCAACGAAAATATGTTCAGGATAATTAAGTTGATTTAATTTATCTCCTGCTTCCTTATCACCTGCTACAACTGTATATTCTTTATTTCCTTGCTGCCAACGTCTGATTTGATGTCTTTGCTTGTCAGAAACATAAAGATCTCCATCATTATTCATTGCTAAACTCCAGCAAACAATATCATTTATTAATACCTGGTGATCCTGACTATTTTCAAGAGACCATTTCATCACTCGCTGGTTGTCAGGGTCACAAACGATGAGGTATTTCTTCTCTTTATCAAGAATTAAATCCGTTGGAGTAGACAAGCTATATATTTCACTCCCAGGTTCATTTCTACTTGGAACAATTTCGCCAGTATGTGCACCAAATTTCCATTTAACAATACGATGATTGTTAGAGTCAGCAATATAAATACTTTCACTATCATCATCAATATAAATACCATAAGGATTATTTAACCGATTTAATTCACTTCCCTGTCCATTTCCCCCAGCAACAGTAACTGCATCCTGTTTCCATTTTGTATTTTTATCGATAATACCAGATGGAATTAATTCTTCTATAAAAACAATAAAAAACATTTCAATATTTTTTTCTTTTCTTTCGATCTAAAAATTATTTCTTAAAAATAAAACATATTTTGTTTTATTAATTATAATATTTTTGTGTCATTACATATAAATTACAAGAATGTAGATGTGGGTATCGATGAATGAGCTATGGATTCGATAGTATATTCTCATTCACATTTCAGTGAACCTTTTGAAATTATTCTATAGAAGGTGTGATGTATGACTTTCGATTATGTACGATTAAACTATTTTATGTCATAATTCGAATAAAATATCTAAGATTGAAAAAGAAAAACCAACTCTAACAATGATTTCTCCTTTATGAATTCTTTGAAATAAGAAACGAACTAGTTTTAACAAAATTATACCACTTGTTATTGTTGTTAACAATTCACTTGTTGTTATTGTTTCCATAGTTGATTCCTCTGTTGTTTCTGATGTTATTTCTGTTGTTATCTCTGTTGTCATCTCTGTTATTGTTGATGTTTTCTCTCTTTTCGTTCTGGTCAACAAAACAGTAGTTATTACAACAACTATGATTACAAAAATTAAAATAATGAGAAATATTATCCAAAGTAATTTTCGTCCTCGAAAATGTTCAAGTCTAGAATAATGCATTTTTTTATAATTTATTTTTTGTTTTCAATATATACATACAATCTTTGCAAACGTGTTGTATTAGAGTTAACTTCAACAGTCTAAAATATCAAAAAAGAAAATAATCTTATTTTCTTTTTATACAATACATTACTTCATCAACTCCAACTCTATTATTCATGTTCATAGTTGTTGTTCTATCTAAACTTGAATAGCTTCACAATCTAAAAGCAAGAAAAAAAAATTCTTTTTTTCTTCAAAGATCATTGATCAGTATTGATATAATTATAAAAGACATAAATTAACCCATTGAATATTCAATTTCATTAATTAATCAGTTTTAATCAAAATAAAACAATGTAAAACTAAAGTTTTGATATATTCTTACGTACGATGATAAAAAATAAGTTTAAAATATGATGTGTTTTTCTATTTCTTCTCGATTAAATAGAAATTGTTTTGCATGAGTTAAATAAAAACAAGTTTTATCTTAAATAATCAGTTCAAAATATTGCAGCATTTGGAACAACAACAAAAAATATCCTATATCAATACAAATATTAATTTTATTTCCGTTTTTTGCAAAGTCAGTTTTGAATAAAATATTTATCATGATTCTCTTAGAAACGTAAAAAACTACAGAAAATATAGTGAGAAAGATTAAAAAGAATAGAATATTTTACATAACATCCAACATTAATTTTTTATCTCTATATTTAACAAATTCTAATTGAATCGAGAAAAAAAACAGCTTTGATTGGAAATTATTTTGATTTATTTCAAATAGTTATAGACTCTATGATGCGTATGCCATATATGCATTGTGAATGTGATTACAGTAACCTTTTGAAATCTGTATATCTCTATTCTTCAAAAATGCATTATCGAAGTGAAAGCTCATTGATTGTTATATTAGACAAATAAATAGAAAACAAGAATCATTCATATACTAAAAGAAAGTGCTGGATTTACGTATTCTGTCAATATATAAAAATTTGCATCACGATGATTGTACCATTTCTTGATATATATATATATACGAATGTTGTTCTTTCTTTTAGTTGCACATTAAATATGTTTTTCATTCACCATGTTGTTTTTCTCGTTACTATTGCCAGTTGTGTGAGTGGTAAAGATGATATATTGCGTACTTATACTTTACGCAAAGATTATTTCAATGGTATTAAAGTAGCAGAATTTTCTGTATTTGATATTTCAAAAAGCACTCTTTACTACCGTATTGAATCAAAATTTTCCATATTACCAAAGTTTGAATTAATATCTTATCCATCAAAACAAGTTGTTGGTAAACTTGAAGGTAAACTTGGTAAAATAAATCTTAGTTTATTAGATGATAAAACTGGTCAATGGGTAACTGGAACAATGAAACAACATGTGACACTCTTGAAACATTATCAATATAATATAGAATTAAATGGACGACAAATTTTAATGAAAAAAGAACTTTTATCTTCTCATACAACTTTTCATGATGCAATTCAAAATGATGAAACTCTTCTAGCTCGATATCAAAGAGAATTCTTTTCACCTATCACCGCAACTACATATGGTGTACAAATTTTTTCGAATGAATTACCTGATGGTCTATATCTATTAGCTCTTGCATGGACAGATATTGGTAAATCTGAAAGTTACGGACCAAAAAACGGCTAAACTCATTATTAATATTCATAATCAAATATATTTAATCACTTTTTTTCATTAATCCTATTTTTATGTGCATTATTCATTATAAAATTAATCTATGAGAAAAAAAATTCATGCGAGAGACATAATTCCGTATATCAAAAGTATCGAATTGATAATATAAATATTACAGGTTTATTTATTTTTAATAACAATACAAATGATAAACTTTACGGACATTGGATACATATATATATATATATATTAAAAAAAAGGGAAATAATTTGCAACAATATAATCCAATGGAGATTCCTCTAGAACAGTCATATCTTTTCTACTATCATATATATTTTCTCTTAATAAACGCCTATGGTATATATGGGGTTAACATCAACGAAAAGAAAAGAAAAGGAAAGAAAGAAAGAAAAATTGCTGTTGAAAGTCCTGTGCTTCGACGATCGTACGTTCTGTTTTTTTCTCCGCTCCTTTCTTTTCTTTCTCGAACAAGAAAAAGGCGATTTTTTTTCTTCTCTTTCTTCTTATTCTGTCTTCATAATTGCATTTATTTCTCGCGCGGCAAAAAATAACTAGTCTTTTTCTTTCTCTTACTACTCAGTACATTCGCCTTGTATTAAGATCGTAGATGCATGCGCAACTTCTGTTTCTTTTTCTTTTTGTTTTGTTATATGCCTAGTACTGATAAACAATATAAATCCACTATTATACTAACATTAAAAATTTTTTTTTTCATTTATTTATAGAATATTTCAGTCACATACTTCGTCTATCATTTAATAATGGGTGTCCTTGATATTGTTCCAACAGGTAAATATCGATAAGATCAAATAGTACATTGTCATTTTTTTTATAGGTGTTATAACCGGTGATAATGTTATGAAACTATTTACTTATGCAAGAGAACATCAATTTGCTATACCAGCTATTAATGTAACATCATCATCAGCTATTAATTCAGTTCTTGAAGCTGCACGTGATGCAAAATCACCGGTTATTATTCAAGTTTCACAAGGTGGAGCTCAATTTTTTGCTGGAAAAGGTCTTAATAATGATGGACAAGCTGCAAGTATTCTAGGTTCTATTGCTGCAGCACATCATACACGTACTGTTGCAAAACATTATGGTGTACCAGTTGTTTTACATAGTGACCATTGTGCAAAAAAATTAGAACCATGGTAAATTAATCTGATAGAACAGAAGATACTTCTTTCGAGAATATTAAAAATAAATTTTCGTAAAACTAAAAACGAATATTTACTTAAATGATCGTACAAAGTGATTCAGGCGGTTTATGAAAAATAATTTTCAATTATTGTTAAGACATATGTATGATTCATCCTTTTCTTCTTCTTAAGGTTTGTTGGTATGCTTGAAGCCGATGAAGCTTATTTTAAACAACATGGTGAACCACTCTTTAGTTCTCATATGCTTGATTTTTCTGAAGAATCAAAAGAACATAATATTGATGCATGTAAAAAATATCTTACACGTATGGCACCAATGAAAATTTGGCTTGAAATGGAAATTGGTATAACAGGTGGTGAAGAAGATGGTGTTGATAATACCGGTGTTGAAAATTCTGCACTTTATACACAACCAGAAGATATATGGGATATTCAACGTGAACTTTCAGCTATTTCACCATTTTTTTCTATAGCTGCTGCTTTTGGTAATGTACATGGTGTTTATAAACCAGGCAATGTTCGTCTTCATCCTGAATTACTTGGTAAACATCAAGCTTTTGTTAAAGATAAATTAAATTCAAAAGATGATAAACCAGTATTTCTCGTCTTTCATGGTGGTTCAGGTTCAACTAAAGATGAAATAAAAACAGCTGTTTCACATGGTGTAGTTAAAATGAATATTGATACAGATACACAATATGCTTATTGGGAAGGTGTACTAAAATTTTATAAGAAAAATGAAGGTCGTCTTCAAGGTTTACTTGATGCTGAAGAAAAACCGAATAAGAAATTTTATGATCCACGTGTATGGTTACGTGAAGCTGAAGTATCAATGAGAAAACGTGTTGAAGAAGCATTCAATGATTTAAACACTACAAAACAATTATAAACAATATTTAATTAATCAACAAAAATTATCCTTTTAGTATATTTCCTTGTTAGCATGTCTATTTTAGTTGTTTGCATAAACCTATATTGATACAATTAAAAATAAATTTTTCTCTTATATAAATGTATAAGAAATTTTTATTCTGTATTGTTATTTTCCAAAAACAAAAAATATTATATATATACTCAAAAGATTTGAATTTTTAATAAATAACTATTTTTTGTGTAACGAATTAAAAGTATTTTTTTTTCATAGATTAAATTCGAATAAAAATCTTAGCTTTATATCATATCTTTTTATTTACATTACAATAACTTAAAGTATTAACGAGAGTTCATTGGATTGTATTAGGAATATAAGCGAAACGATTATCTCAAAACACACATAGAATAAATTTCTTATTGTAGATGTCGCGAAGTGCATATAGAATATTTTACTCATCTAACATTGCTAATATGAAAAAATAAAATTTCTAGTTGGGACATTTGTCAACTCAATCTCTGTGCGATTACAATATGAAACACAATCAAACTGTTTAATTAAATCGTAAATGGGGCTTCAACATTCCTTTTAAGCCGTATTTCTCCTAATAAATATTTTCCAAATAATCAAATTAACTATTTTTATTTTGTTATTGCGAGAAATTTTGCAACAATTATAAGTATTTCGATCTTGTGTTTATTATTACTATTATAAAAACAAACTAAAGCGAACTGAAATTCAAAGGAAAGAAAAAGAATTTCTTTTTTTTTATTTTGAATAAAATAAAAACAATCGTCTTACTTTTTTCTAACTATTACGCAATAGAATTATTTCATTCTTTTTTTGTAAAGAGAAAAAAAGAAATTAAACTCAATATCTTGAGAGTGTAGGTGTGGGTGCCAGGATGACCGCGTGAGATAAAGAGAATGCTCATACCAACACCCACTGTTACAGTCACATCTGCATATGCCTGCACACATTCTTTGCTTCTTTTTCTTTCTTTTTTATGTTTTCGTTATTCATTCAAATAAAGATACAATGTGAAGAGAGTCTGGTCTCAGACCCACACTCGAAAGCGTAAGTGACCTCCAAATGTGGAGCTTACATTTTTTTCACCTGATATTACTGACAATTGTTGACTATAGATTTCAAATACGAGTTATAAAAACTAGTCTTTATTTCTTTTTCTTTTTTTCTTTTGGCTCAAGAGAACATGTGATAAACAAATATTCTGTGCACTTATGCCTTTTTTGTCAGTTTTAAAGTGCATATAACTGATGAAATTGATAGAGCTTGTGTGGAATTGATCGTTTTAAATGTATTTCTAACATGATTCAATTGTCTACGAAATAATTCTAGTAGTATTGAAGATGTAGATGTGAATAGGTGAAAGACATATAATTGTTAGATTCGATATATGTTCATATGTAATGAAGCTTGTTTATATATTTAAGCAGACTAGAATAAATTTGGTAGATCTGATGTAAATAGATATTCTTAAACAGAAGTTCACTATGACACAAAAAGTATTTTCGTCCTTGAAGAATATAATGTTTAACAGAGTAATCTCTACTGACAAGAACGATGGAGAATCTTTCGAGATTCTAGCTCTCTCATATGACTGTTTCACTGATAATAGTTTTTCTTCTTGCCAACTTTGTTTTTTTTCTTTTGTTGGTTTAGAGCATACACTGACATCGTCTACATTTGATATCGTCGAATTCAACTTTAGTTTTAGATTTTCTGGCTAAAGCGCTCTTTTAGATGCTTATTTCCATCAGCGATACAACACCTTTGCTTCGAGATAATTCTCGATCGCATATTCATGTGCCATTAATTGTACTAAGTGTGGAGACAACAACTATCACTACCGATTCCGTTGCGCCTGCTGCTCCAGAACAAAGACTACATTCTCTTGAGCAATATCGAGGCTTTGTAGTCTTGTGCTTACTGGCCTTGCTATTCCTGAGGCGGTTGAAATCTTCACCATCCGCATTCAAAGAACAGTTGAACTACTTCGGCATTTCTGGTTCGTCAGTACAACAGGGAAAATAATCATTCTCGCTAGATGATTGAGTTAATTATCTTGTGCATATGCTGGGCTATGTCAGAAATCAGCAACTTTAAAAATAGGACATATTATTATTACGAACAAACCAATTTGTGAGCCTTTTGAGCTTAGTTAACGTATAAGTAACAAAAACGATAGTTTTCAATATGTTTCGAAGATGCAGATGGGAGGTATCTTTTTTATATAGTTATGCACATATTATACAGTGTGAGTTGGAGAAAAAGTGCAGTTCTCATCGCTTTATCTAAATCAGCTTTTGTTCACTGAATTTTTCAAAGCATGAATATACTCTTTAGATGTTACAATGCCTCAGTTCTACCTTGTGGTTGGCTTTTCTATGCAGCTGACGCTTATGCGCTTACGAGCTAAGAAGGGACTTCGCGCGGTGATTTTTAAGCAGCTTCGTAGAAGTCGAACGTTGTATTTAATTGGCCTCTTGTATTATAATATCGACAATCAGACAAGCTGGGCCAATCTAAGCGACAATTGGCCTCAACTACTTCTGCAACCCATACTGAGTAAAATATTATTTCAGACTCTGACTATCATCTCGATCGCTCAACTAATTGTTCTTCCAGTTATTACTCGACCTATTTGGGTACGAGTGTGCTATATGATCGGCTTGATGACTATTTACATGTTGGGTCAATGGGCCTTCTGGATGAAGCATCAATGGCGACATGGTATTGACGGTGGTAGTTTTGGAACAATTTCGTGGGCGTCATTAATTATTGCTGGAACCTTTCTAAACGATTGGCGTGAGGTCAGTCAATATTATTTTTTTTATTTTTTACCTTGACTGATATTCATGTTGTTGAAAGACAGCAATCTTTCATAGACGTTCAGCTGCAGATTTGAGAATATTTTTGTGTAACATGTAATTATTCTAACCAAGAAACCGTCCTATCATTTTTGGGCTCGTATTTTCGAATGTGCGTGTGAATACGTTCTTTTCCTTTCACACTAATCCATTTGTTTTGAAGAAAAAAATGTTTTCTACACTTTTAATTCTTTTCCGAAATGTATATATATTTGAACTTTTGCCATTCTTTTGAATTTCAGTGGATTTGTGTTGTTCCTGTCAGGAATGTTGTTGCTCGTAGGCACCGTGTGATTAAAGCGAGTATTGGACTTCTTACCGTAGCAGTAGTCAGTTGGTTATTGGCTTATCTTATTTCATCAATTCCTGCGTCGTGGAGTCCAATATGTTTCTCAATGAAAGATAATAGTCCAACTATATGCCCTAACATGAGTCTACCTTCAATTCCATTTGTGGCACCACAAACCGATGTCATTTCAATATGGACAATGACTCAAAGACTCGTTTCACTCAGTTTTCATCTTGCGGTAAGTAGTCTTTTTAAAAGTAGGAGACGAGCTTTGATAATATTGTTCTTTTACAACTTTAATAGTCCATCGGGTATGCTCTGCCTGTGTATCTATTTTGGTACGTCGTGTCAGATGTCTACAACTTTCAATTTGCATTTCTCAAATCGTTGAGTAATCAGTCACTGCTCATATATATCCTTAACTACCGCGCCGCAGTCAAACTTGCCACAAGTATCGTGCCCCGCGATTCACCACTCTATATGCTACCTGTTCTGTTTTGCATCGGTTTCGCTGGCGACGTTCTCATTCTTCGGTTTCTCGAAGGAAATAACATCCAACTACATTTATAAGCGCTGTCACATCATCGTCTGCTCTCTGAAATCATGACTCTTTGTATCACTTTATTCTGTTTTCATTACTATTTTGATTTCATTGTCTATTCGTGTGCTTGCATAACTGAGCGTACTCTAGGGTGGGTGTGGATAAGGTCGATATCCGTCTCATACTCACACCCTATATATCTCTCCTTCAAATTTACCTAATGAGAACAATCTAAGCAGTATTTGATACGCACGAACTCTTCCTTTTATATAAGTTTACGCATACCAATATTCACTTCTCTCTTCACCAAGATTTTTATTTTTTGTTATCAAATGAAAAAATCACGAAAATAATTAATTGTTTTTTTTTTGTAATTCACTTATTGAACTCTGTCAACTATGAATTAAAAGATGTTGCTGTAATCAATACTGTTATTGTAAAAATAATTGCGTGGAAAAAGGTCGTAACTGATAGTCTGTCGTCTGTATACGTTCGATCAGTCATATTAAATTCAACGTAACAAAGTATGAATTCTGTAATACGGCTTCTTTTTGAATTATGAAAATATTGTGTTGAACATTATTTACAGTTAGTTGGATCAACTGAAACAGGTGTATCAGATTTGCCAGTCGTTACATTCGAATAAAATAAACACTAATTATCATCGAATGGTTTAACCCTTTAAGTACCATAGCTCAGCCAATGGATGAAACTTTGTTAGGACTTTATTTCTAACATGTATATTGTATGTTGTGAATATTTTCATTGAAAATTTTTAAAAAACTTTCGAAGTCATTTTCGATCAATACCCGTACCCCCTTACGGCACGGTGGTACTTGAAGGATTATTAAAATGATAAATACCGCGCGAATACAAGCATCTACATGTCCCCTATGCCACAATGACAAGTGCACTTCGATATTGTTTCGCATTCGCAATTTATTCAGAATTTGTCAAATTTTAAAGAGTGGGGCTTATAGGCCCCGTTGGTACTTAAAGGGTTAACTGGTTCTAAAAGATTCTTGAGATCGATAAATTGATCAGTTATTGTCAATGATTGTAATAAACGTTTAAATATATTTATATTACAGCAGCAGTAAGTAGATGTTCGGAGGATCTATCAACGTTTGATTAGAAGTTAAACGCAGATATAGATGAACAATCATAACATGATATTTGACATGACAATGAATTAAACAGCACAAACATGATATCGTCTAAAACGACTTCTTTTTAATGTTGAAAAATTAGTCAGTAGTATTATCACTAATTCATCAAGCTACATGTTACAAATGAAGATCAGAAGAAAGCTAATGTTATCTTTAATTGCACAACAAATCTTTTAGAAGAATAACTGAATCATAAATAAGTTTTTTAAACTAACCACTGGAAGAAAAAAAGGTATCTGATAACAATCAATAAAAAATGAGTAATTCATAGATATTAAACTTAGAACATTAAATAATTCATATGTTTTGTCTGCCAGGATATACATTATATGTACTCAAATAAATATCATCGAATATGATTTGGATTTGAAAGAAAATGACATTTGTATCACTCATTTATAATAATATTGATATTGTTTTAAGATGAGTAATGTCTAGAAAACTTATAAATATGATTCCGAACGGATGTGGATGTAAAGGTGTAAATAACTAATGAGCATCCATCCACAACCACACCCTCAAACATCTTTATTCAAAGCTCGAATACTCGTCACGAATACTTCTATTTTAAATTATTTCATATAATTTTGCTATTATTATCGATTAGCAGCATTGAAATGATAACAAAGGCGATCCAAAACGTTTATAGGTTTGTCCACAACTAATGAAATACTCCCGACGGTGAAGTCTAATATGATTAACTGCGTATCAAACAGATGTAAGAAGAGGTCAACGATTTTTACGTTGCTTCGTCGACAAAGTGTTAACTGTCTTATCTGCACTCTTTGAACATTACATTCTTACAAAATTAATGCCTGTGTACCTAAGAATACATATAGTAGAAGATTATTTGATTATTGTCCTGCCAATTATACCATAAAATAGATTTACTTTATCTTGATTGTCTATTTGAATTTCTCTCAAAAGAGCTTATTGTATAACATTACTTACTATATAATTGATTATTGGTTCCGCTGAATTATGTCTGTTGAAGCAAATTGGAAACTGTTATTTCACATAATAAAATATAAATACATATAGATCTATGCTATAAACAGAAAAATGTTCGATATGTTAAATATAATACTTTTATTTTTTTCTGAGTTTACGACAGATAGCATAGCTTTACATCTCGATATTAAAGCGTATTGATTGAAATACAACACAAAAAGAGATTTCTATTAAGACAATGTCATCGACAATAGCTAAAGTTATTTATTCCACTATTTATTATGATATATTCGTACGGATCAATTGTTTATTAACACGACGATTTATTCGTTTTCTGTCTCGTTTCTCTCGTCGATACCGTTCTAGCTCTTCACGTGTCATATCAATACCAAAACAATATGTTAATATATCCATTATTACAATAAACATTACAACAATTGACAGAGCAATAATTGCAATATACGAAAATGATTTTGAAATGATTTTTGAGATAACAACTTTTCTTGCAGTAAACTCACAATGAGTACCATAATAACTAGTACCAAGACATTCACATTTATAACCTAATAATAATGGTCGACAAACACCATTATTCATACACTCGACACCTTCGCAATAATTAACCATTGATTCACAATGAATACCTTCCCAACCATTTTCACATACACAATGAACTGTGGTGTTCGATGTTTCATTACACGTACCTATAAAGCAAAATAAATGTTTGTTTTTCATTAATGAATAGTGGAAAAATGCAGAAAATACATACCATTATGTAAACATAGATGTGGTTTACAGATTCGCTGATCAACTTCACAATAAGTACCAGTGAAACCTGATAGACATGAACAAACGAGCACTCATCCTATTCCGGAAAGTTACACATTCCGGAATCGCTTGGCTCACCCAACTTAACATAATTCAATTCCGGAATTCATTGGATTCGATTCCTGCCTATTCCGGAATTCCTTGCATTCGATTCCTACCTATTCCGGGCGATTCCGGAAAAGCCGGAATGTGCACGAATTCCGGAATTTCGCTACGGAATCGATTCGATTATTCAGGAGGATCATTTCTACATGAAGTATAACTTGTGCAATTCCGGAAAAGCCGGAATGTGCACGAATTCCGGAATTCCGCTACGGAATCGATTCGATTATTCAGGAGGTTCATTTCTACATGAAGTATAACTTGTGCAATTCCGGAAAAGCCGGAATGTGCTCGAATTCCGGAATTCCGCTACGGAATGGAGTAAGTCGCTCACCATGTTCATTTCTACATCAAGCATATCTTTCGTAATTCCGGAATTGGCAGGAATAGCATTAATGTGATGGAAGGAATTCCGGAATTGGCAGGAATCGAATTCGATCCGTTCCGGAAAAGGCAGGAATCGTATGCAAGGAATTCCGGAATTGAATGATGTTAAATTGGGTGGGTGTAGCTATTCCGGAATGTGTAACTTTTGGGAATAGGAAGCATTCTCGAACAAACATATCCATAAGTTGCCAATTTATTGTTTATGCATGTACCATTGTTTTCACATGGTGTTGCCAGCTTACATGGAGTATTCGAGATATTGCAACTAAGACCGATAAATGTTGAATTAGTGCAGGGTATTGGAACGAAAACCAATGATGAAGTATTAACTAAAGTCAAAAAATGAAATATATAATGAACTCAGACGATAGACTTGAGGGTATTAAAAGTCGCACTGAAACTGATTTCTTACTAAGCATTGAAAAGAAGTAACTTGAACTTCTGCTCATACATAAAATGTACATATTCCAAATTAGTGTTTCTTGAAAACTATGTAGCTTTGAAAAATGAATTAGATCTTAAATTCTCAATATCAGTTTTACTCAGATTATATGTTTAGATCACTTATGCATTTCGGAAACAGTAATGGTATTACAAGGCTTTTTTTCTTTACAACATGTATAATACTGGAGTTAGATGTAAGTCTAAGCAAAGTATTTGGTGACCTACCATCTACAAATATAACTGAGTTGTCAAAAGCAGAGAAAATACATGCGAAAATAGTTTTCCATACCGTTGCTCCTAGTCGTTACCATAGGTGATGTTTTTTGTGCTGATGTTGTTGATGATGATGCTATTGTTGTAGTTGATGGCGTTGTGGTTGACGACCTTGTTGTTGATGATGATGTTTCTGTTGTTGTTGTTGTTGAGGATGATGATGGTGTTTCTGTTGATGTTGTTGTTGCAGCTGATGATGTTGTTTCTGTTGTTGTCGCTGATGTTGTTGTTGATGTTGTTGTTGTTCTTGTTGTTGATGTTGTTTCTGTTGTTGTTGATGATGATGATGTTGTCGAGGTTGTTGCTGTTGTTGATGATAATGATGATGATGTTGTCGAGGTTGTTGTTGTTGATGATGATGTTGTTGTCGTTGATGATAGTGTTGATAACGATGATGATGATGATGATGATGTTGTCGTTGTTGATAGTGTTGTTGTTGGTGTTGATGTCGTAGTTATATCTGTGTATATCAAAAAGTTTTTATTTTAGATCAATCTGTTACTTATGCTCTGTATATTTATTCAACTTTTATGCGTGTTGAACTTTAAGCTAAAATCACAGTATGCAACTAGTTCTAGTATACGATCGATGTATCCCTTTACGACCATTAAGTTTGAGAGCTTAATAGTGATAATAAATATAGTATACGATGGAAGTAGAAAATAAACGGCTCCTTTCAAGATTTTAAGATATAGTTGATAAGATCACACAGTATTCTGACAAAAACTTATAAATGATTGATAATTTCAATATTAGACACAATATGACACAATTATACGCTGAAGAAAATATATACCGATTTTTGAAAAGACTATAAGTAATTTGAACTGATCTTTGCAAATATTATATTTAGGATTCGAAAAAGTACTCTTTTATCTTTATATATTAATATTTTAATTCAAAACCACTATAAACGATGTATGTATACACTTCAGATCTTAAATCTGACACGTTCGTATCTCAGTCAAAAAAGTGAAAGGTCAGAAAGTCTTTTAGAGTTTCTGTACTCTCACTAAGTCCCACTTACGGTCAGAACACGAAGGTTAACGTTCTTAGTCAGTTGCTGAGGCTCTCTCCTCAAATAAAGCGGTTCTTATACAAAGATTTATCGGTAAATGACGTATTTCATCAAAGAATTTCAGGTGAAGTTCAGTTTGTTCAGAGGAATACTATAAAAGCTAAACGAGATATAGAATCAAATTATTCAATATTTTTCAGAAATGCGAAATGAACGAGTTCTCTTGGTTGCAAAAAAGTATTGAAGAGACTAACCTGTAGGACAAGAATCAGAATATGTAGTTGGACAGACACGTAATTCAATATCGTCAATGGCTACACAGCTTCCGCTCTCTCCGTTATCCAGTGCAATCATTGATAGTAAGACCGATGTAGCGGATGCATTGAATGACAAACTATGCTTCTCCCAAGGCATGCTATAGTTCCGCTGTATTAGGTCCATGGTGACGTTTGCGAGTAAATCTTTTGGATCCGTTGTTTTTCGAGCTTCAATGCGAACTTTTCGTTTAGTTATTTGATGAGTTTCGACAGCATTAGCCAAATATGCAGAAAATTCATAAAATAATCCAATGCACAAGCCATTGATAGTTGAATTAAGCAGTGAATGATTGCTTTTACCATTCACATTGACTATAAGCATATATCCGTTCGTATTAAACCCCCCCCCCCCCCCCCAAAAAAAAAAACCCCCCCGGGTTGTCTTTTCTTTTCCCCAACGCGCTTTTTTTGTGGAAAAATCCCCCTACAGGGGTAGGGCGATTTTTTCGATTTTTGCTCCAAAGGGGTCTTCTATTATGGGGGGGTCTTTTAATACGAGAGGGTCTTTTATTATGGGGGGGGGGGGGTTTAGTCGTTGTATGATGTTTTGCTCCAGTATGCCATTTCATTGAAGGAGTAGTAGAGTTAGAAACTTGGTTTACAATACCATACATTCCACCGATTGTCGTAAAGGTAGCGTGTATTTTACGTATAGAGAAACTGTAGCTAACTGATGGCCTGTCAGAATACGGTTCATTCCAATAATCAAGTGTAATTAAAAAAAGTGGTGCGCCATTGTTGTTGTCCTCATCAAAACATAAACTACTAGTAAATTCTAAGAAAAGAAAAGCATGCAGTTAGTTGTTATTTGAAATAAAACAAAAGTTCAAGAAAATCTTCAGTTACGATTTTTATGGAGTGCATCAATGAAATCAGTCGAACTTATTCAGTAAATATGTTTCGATACATGCTCCAGTAACTCCTGCATCTAGATTATATTCAGTTACAAGAAGGTGTTACAACTCCTTGTATTGTGTATTCTTAATTATAAGTTAAAAGATAAAAATTTTCTTTAAATATACTATTAAAAAAGTATCTATTTCACGTTCTTTTTTATTTTTTTATTTCAAACGATTAACAGAACACAGGAAATATAAGACTGTCCTAGCTAGAGGGTGAAAATACTGACGATACGATTAGAATTTTTTTTAAGCTTTAAAAAATCGATCATTGCTATGAAATAAGTGAACAGAAAATAACTAACAAGAGAATCTCAGCAACTGACTAAGAGCTCTAAGATGTATATTCTGGTCATAAGTGGGTCTTAGTGGACCTGAAGAAACTCTAAAAGAATTTCTGCTCTTTTATTGTCTTTCTCATTAAGATACGAACGTTTTAGGTTTATAATTAGAAATCTATCAACATTGTTTGAATTGTCTAAATTAAAATATCAATATATATATATTAGAAATTAGAAACTATTCTCATACCTCTCTTCGAGATTTTTCTGTCTTCCATTCTTACAACTGTTCTTTTTAAGGAAACTAAATAATAAAATCAGTTTTCTGCATAAATCGATAGATTATTAAACTTTCAGAATATCATCGTACGACAATTTATATCACAGTAGCTGTTAAGAGAACTGGATACTCGTATTTAGTAAAATTAAAATTATCTATAGAATAAACTACACGTATTTGATTTCGCCTATAATAAACTTTTTTGTATTCTATATAGATAAATAGAATTAAAATATGTTAGCACTAACTAAACAGGGTAATTCTAATATTTCGATTCATTTGACTCACTTTGAAACCAAAAAAGACATTTTTTTTTCTATATTTACCTCTTAATGCATTGATAATAAATACAATTATTATTTGTGTAAAACAATGTTTTGATAACATCTTCTGTTTTTCGTTTAATACTTTTTCAATATCTATACAATAATAATTTGAATAAAACATAGATTTTTCGAAATCTAATAATCACTTACTTGAAAACAACAAAAATGAAATCATATTAAGAAACTTTGTTTTATCTTTCTCTTCTTCCTATTTTACTTAAACTAATACTGATTGGTCGTTTTCTCGGTACTTTTTTAAAGATATAATATTTTGAGCTTATATTACCCTGTGTATATAATCGGCAAGTGATCGGAAAAACTTATTTCAAAATCAAATATTGCCTTCTCAAATATACGAAAACATTCTTTTTTTGAATATTATCATGAACATATCTTGGTTTCTCCTTGCTCTTTTGTTTTTCTTGATATATGAAACCATACTGATTACTTCCTCTCTAATATAAATAAATATGTCTTTTTCTCTCATACATTTTCCTATTAATTTCTCCTTTTTGTTAAAGTAAAACGTTCGATGTCTATTTGTTATATAGTTTCCAACACTTATCAGTAATCAATAATTTGATCTAAAAAGTATTTTATGAGAAAAACAGTGATTATTAGATTAATTCAATTAAATCTTTAACTTGATCATAATCAGATATATTTTGTATTAGTCTGTTTATTTGTTTTAATTTCAAATTTTATGATTGAAACTGAAAGAAAACTAATTACAGCAGACGAACAAAGTATTAGTTACGAATATAAATATACTATTGACGTCAATGTTAATCATATATTAGATTTTATTACAAGTTTCATTAAAATAGTTGTTTTGAACTTTCATATAGTATTACTATTTAATTTTCTTTTGAAACTTTCTCATCGACTCAAAGTTTTGTTGAGATTTATTATACCATTATATATAGAAAGTGAAACGTTTATTTTTTTTACATTTCAATAAGATTTTTATCTCGAAACTTATCTGAAATTTGACTTCAAGATTTGCTTAACGAAGGCATTCATTTGTGAGTTATCTTTGATTTGTAAATTTGAATTTATTTATTTATTTAAATAAAAAGAAATTATTATATTTTATCTATTTTATCCATTATTCCATTCAATTAAATATTTCTTGATACCAACCAAGTGAATTAATTAAATGGATTTAATATCCAATGATTTCGAGGGTGTGGGTGTGAGTACTAGGGGAATGCAGCATCCATCTCACACCCAATATGGTTTTTTTCTGTTTGTTGATGAATGTTGAAATTATGTCTTGGTTTTGAAATTGCCTGTGGGTGGGACAGACATCATATATCTATACCTCCGCCAACACTCATAGACATCCACGATCTCTTCTCACGTTTTAAAATAAACTGGTAGGATATTCATAATTCGAAATATAAAATATAGCTATTATTAAAATAACCATTTATTCGAAAAGCTTTTGAATAAATAAAATAGAACTACTACACTTGAAAAACAAATTCAAATTTAAGTTCAAGGCGACATTTATAATAGGAACTACTTATTAAATTTAAGGAATAATTTTAATAATGATCGTAGTATGACTAATACTAACAGAAATTTAAAAAAATAGAAGTTTAGAAATATTTGATAAGTCTAATAGTTTTATATCGGTATCATCTAGTCAATAGAAACTCTGATTTATACTAATGAGCAAGATTTTTCATTAATAATTATATTTTTTAATGAATTTTTTCTATTGTTTTGCATCATTAAAAATATAAATTTCTCATTTATAATTATCTAATATTTATTGTTTTTGCTAAATTAATAAAGTATATTCAATCGGTGAAAAGATTTTACTAAACAACTTGTTTCTTTTTGTAATTATTCACATTATAGAAACACTTTTGATCATTCTTTCCTTGTATATATCCGTCTACAAACTATACTAAAATTTAGATATTGTTCTATTCGAAATAAATATTCTGCGCAATTTCTTGATTATATGTGGACAACTTCAGTTTTCACGTGGAAACTTGAATTTAATAATTTCTTTCTTCAATGTGTATTTTTGCCATTAAACTGAAGTATTTCATGATTATATTTGTATTGAAAATAATTATTTCCCTCTTTGAATAAAGACAAATCTTGAACACAACAACAAAATACTTTTATATTTATTATAAAAATGCTTTTACTGATCGATCCTTTTATTTTCCATAAATCTGTATCATTTTGACAAGTATTTTTTTAAATGCACTATTTTTATAAAGCATAAGTGAACATTGCTCATGACATCCTCGATACTTTTTCCATAAATTGTGTAACAAATTAACATATCAGTATCATCCTTATTCTAAAATACACAAAAACTAATTTTAAAATGTAAAAACTCAAGTTTTATATGTATAGAATTCAAATAAATCTAGGCTAAATAAATCTTATTGGTAGAGATAATACCTGATCTCATCAAATATTTATTTTTTTAATTGATAAAGTTCTAGGATTATGAAGATGGCACGTGTTAGGTACAAGTTTGGTATTTTAGAGTTCTCGATGTCCTTGAAGTATTTTTTCTATTTTTATTTTCTTCTTTTAGAAACTATGTAATCAAACTATTGCACAAGTATTCTTCTTAGCAAGTTTGTATATCCGTTCACTTCAAATCTTAAAAAACAAATTATTTATTAAATATGAAATTGCGCATTTGTTAATAACAAAAACCTAATTTGAAAATAAAACAATTAATATGATACGATATAATTTATCTTTCATTACTTTCTTTTAATGCGTCAGAAAAGAAATACATCGCTAAGGAAACAGAAAGCTGAAAGATATATTTTAAAGTCATTTCCACGAATCAAAATAGACCTTATCCTGAGAAAGAAAAATTCTTTTTCTATTTTAAATAAACACTCTCTAGCGACGTGTATAAAAAGAATACGATATTTGAGTTATTTGCTGTCAGTTTGATAAAAACAAGCTCTCTTCAAACGATAACTTTTAACGACAAGAATAGTTTTTTGGTATGTATTAATTTCTTCTGCAAGGACATTACTGTTTCTTGAGGGTGTGGGTGTGAGTATGGATTCATCTTTTATATACTCACACCCACCATTCTGTTTGTTTAAAAAATAAATCTAGATTATTTTTTATTATTATCTTTTTAGTATTATTTAGTTAACAATTATGTTTCACTATATCTTCTATAATTACTGCTCTTTTCTTACGACTGTTTGGCTATGGTTTCTATTTTTAATCATTAAACAAACTTATTCTCAAGAAATCTTTGCTAGTAAAACAATATTATCAAGTCAAGGTACTCAATATATACCTGTTAATATGCCAGCTCAACTTATTTCGATAACTAATACTGATTCAATCAAGAAATGTTCTATATTATGTAACAGCAATGTTCTATGTCGCGTTTTTGATTATGCAGTATCTTCACCTAAACAATGTCGATTATTTGAAGGTGATACAAATAAATTAGGTCAGATTAGTTCATCATCTTCATCTCAATCGCAAGTTGGTACTTTACAATTTTCGGCACGTCTTTTCGTTGAATACGGCAGTCCATGTATTTCTACTTGTAATCAAATTCGTTATCTTCGATGTGGCAGTAATTCTACCTGTGAATGTATGCCACACACTTATTGGAATGCATCAATTTCTATGTGTATTCCACAATCGCCAATACTTGGTGCATCCTGTCAACAAAACATGAGCATGTGTAGAGAAGATCTTAACTATACATGTTTACAATTTAATCAATGTGGGCGTAAGTTGTACAATTTTTTTTTCTATCATTATATTTTGTTCTGATAATTGAGACAGTACTACAAGATTTGATAGTTTGATAGTTTTCAATGATCTCTTCCATAATTAATTCTACTTTTTATCTTTACAGCATTATCGGTACTTTCTGGAACAACAGTTGCGGATGATACCACTGAAATAAGCGATAGTTCGACTGTTGGTCTCAATTGGCCTCTTGGAATTGATATATTTGGAACCAACAGTGACTCGATTATTATTGTGGATATGGGTAATAATCGTATTCTCGGTTTGTGGGATGCTGATACAAACTATAAAAACATTTCTGTAGTGGCAACGGAATGGGCTCCTGGACAGCCGCTGTACTATCCTTTTGATGTGTATGTCAATACTAGAAATGGATGTGATATTTATGTTACTAACTATGGTGATCCTCAAGTTGTATTATATTCTAACATGCAAACAATTAATTCATTACCCAGTATGGTTGCTGGTAACAGTTATAATGGAGCAGGACTTGATAATTTGAATGGTCCATTTGGAGTAGTAGTAGATAGTAATAAGAATGTTATCGTTGCTTCTATGGAAGATAATCGAATAATGTTTTGGCCTCCAAATGCTTTGAATGGTACAATAATAGTTGGTCATATCTCAGCTATTAATGGTAATACTGCTATGGATCTTGATGGACCTCAAGGAATAGCACTTGATGAACACAATTCATGGTTATATGTCGCTGATTTACATAACCACAGGATACAACGGTATAACTTAAATGATACTTGGCCATGCAACGGTACTACAGTAGCAGGCGGCAATGGTCCTGGTTCACGAAGCAATCAACTCTTTTCTCCATCTTATATTAAAATATCCAATAAGACGGGAGCTTTGTACATAGCGGACTATGGAAATCATAGAATTCAACGTTGGAATCAAGGAGCAACTGAAGGAGTAACTATTGCAGGTGATATCAATGGTAATCCCGGATCCAGTGATACTATGTTTAACGGTCCTTCAGGATTAGCTATTAACCATAATGAAACATTCATGTATGTAACCGATGAAAATAACAACCGCGTTCAACGTTTTCAACTCATTTGAAATAACAATAAAAACAATTAACTTTTTTGCTGTTGTAATATTAATCATGCACTTTATTTATTTATTCTAAATTATAAAATAAACAGATCTATTTATTCCAATAAAATATGATTTCATTAATAAACAAAAATTTTGTTTCTTCTTTTCTTTATTTTTAGAAAACTAATCTAAAATATTTTATCAGATAAATTATTTCAGAAGAAAAAGCAAATAAATAAAAGAAATAAAAAAAGAAGAATTGTATGTTGAAAACTAAAATACCAGAAATTTATTGTTTTATTTTCTGCTTTAGCTTTACGTTCATCATGTAAAGTTGATAAACGTTTGGGACGATATACACCAAAATATTCTGATATCCAATTATTTGTTCTATATAATGATAAACCCATATCTCGTAAATAAATTTCCATTGGTTCTAACCAATAATATTGAAAATAATATGATTTTCGTTTAAACATTTTATAAATAAATTGTCGAGTTGTTTCAATTTCTTCCAACATTTCTTTTTCTGTATTTGGTAATTTAATTCGACTAAGAAAATAATCCGACATCCAATGACATTGAACTTCATAAAACATCCATGTATGTAAAGGTGCAGGTAAACCAATAAAGGCAATATTAGGTATTCCAATAGGAATTATTTGACGATACAAATCAAGATCAATTCCTTCATCAGATGTCGATCTTGTTGTATTTCGAACAAGTGTTTTAGTCAATGTTTCAATAAAACCGGTTGCACAAATAATTAAATCTGCTTGTAAAAGTTCACCAGAATCAAGTCGAATTGTTGTCTTATCAACAATTTCATCAATTGATGCCAATTTTCTAATAATACGATTTTCACGAATCATTGTAACAAATTCTTTTGTTAGGCGCATAATATTGTGAGCATTTCGTATAGAACCTTTTGGTATGAATTTTTCATCAGCAAATAAATCTGATTTATATTTACTAATCAAAAAATTAGCTATACTATCAGTGATTTTAGTGAACACAAATGAAAAGACACGATGAAAAAAATAAAATGCAGCGCTATGCGGTGCATTAGGAAATGGATCAAATATATGTGTAAATATTCGACTAAATCCATAGTCTAATGGAACATAACCAATAAGAATGACTGAAAACCATATGACAAGAACTCGCATGCATTGCTGCTAATGTAGCCATATCAACGGCACTTTTAGCACCACCAATTACTATTACACGTTTGTTTTTTAATTGATCTTCACTTTTAATATCAGTAATATGTTGAATTGATCCACTAAATTTATTTTGACCAGGAAAATTTGGCTTTTCTGGTGTAGAAAAAAGACCAGTAGCTACAACAATTAAATCGAACTCGAATGTTTCATGATCACCACTAGCTGTTTCAACTTTAACAATCCAAGGAAGTTTGCCATTTTTTAAATCATTTTTATCAATTAATATAATTTTTGTTTCAAATCGAATGCGTTCGATAAGATGAAATTTATCGGCATATCGTTTTAGATAATTATGAATATTTTGTCACGGAGCACAATCCATAGCTATAATATACAAATCGAGAATATATAAAAACATTATTTATTAGAACAATAAATATTTCACCTTCTGTATCATGTAGATTAGAAAATTCCATTAAACTTGCTATTGTTTGAGTATGTTGATGAACATACGCCCAATCTGGAGACCAAATACCACCTAATGTTTTATGTCGATCAAATATCGTAATATCAAAACCATCTTCTAAAAGAACTTTTCCTGCTGCAAGCCCTGAAACACCTGCTCCAATGATAGCTACACTTTTTCTTACCATTATATATTGACGATTTTTACAATGAAAGTATCATGTTAATCAGAAACGTGCAATCAGATGAATATGTTTCGTTCTGCAGACAAGACGAAAAGAAAAAAATAACAAAACAATCGATACGCAACATAATAAGACACATTATCGGTTTAAATATACGATGTATATGATGAGTCATTTATCTTTATTTACATATCATATAGATTAAGGTATTTCAGTAAAAAAACCGCACATAATATAATTGAGAATGTTCTCTGACAATATTTCAAGATATAATCATTCTATTGAATTATTTCTCTCATTTTATAATAAATTAAAATAATGAGGGAACATGTTTTTTATTTTGATATGTATGGAAAAAGTGAGAATATTTTATGATCAGTTTGTATCATTAGTAAAGTAATATTATTCTTACTTTTCTGGTAGATAAACTGTTTTAGATTTACTTGACTATACTGAATGATATATAGACTCAGTTAAGAAACATGTTTGATGTGTTTATGAACAAACTGATATCAACCGAATATTCTTAGATAAATATTAATTAATCATTACTTATCAGGTAAATGATAAAGATAATTATACAAAAATAAATGATTGACGAATAAAATTATGTTTTTGTCATTGGTACATTCTCGTGCCATATTTTTTATTTATGATTTACTAATTTATTTTATAAAATCCTATGTCTTTATTAGTACTTTATTTGTTTGGACTCATTAAATCAAGTGAACTTCTTATATTACTCCATTCTTTAAATCTATACACTCACTATGAATGTACGCTTACTCTATATCAATATCCTATCAAATGTACACCTCTTTTTGAATATTTGGAAATATACGTTGATGAAAAACTGTAATTTAACGAACATTGCAAGAAAGTGTTTCAAAAAATTCACGCCAATCGCACTATATTAAAATATTTTAATCGATTTTAAACATCTTCATTGATAGCTCGAATACTCGTCATCAATACTTTTATTTTAAATTATTTCATATAGTTTTACCATTATTATCGGTCAGCAACATTGAAACGATTAGAAAAGCGATCCAAAAAATTTAAAGGTTTATCCACAACTAATGAAATGTTCGCGATGATGAAGTGTAATGATTAACCGCATATCAAACAGAAAAATGTTGGATATGTTAAATATAATACTTTTATTTTTTTTCTTAACTTACGACAGACAATATAGCTTTACATCCCGATACCGAAGCATATTAATTAAAATACAACACAAAAAAAGAGATTTCTATTAAGACAATGTCACCTACAATAGCTAAAGTTATTTATTCTATTATTTATTATGATATATTCGTACGGATCAATTGCTTATTAACACGACGATTCCATTTTCTTCCTCGTTTTTCTCGTCGAAATCTTTCTCGTTCTTCACGTGTTAGATCAATACCAAAACAATATGTTAATATATCCATTATTACAACAAACATTACAACAATTGACATAGCAATAATTGCAATATAAGAAAATGATTTTGAAATGATTTTTGAGATAACAGCTTTTCTTGCAGTAAACTCACAATGAGAACCATAATAACTAGTACCAAGACATTCACATTTATAACCTAATAATAATGGTCGACAAACACCATTATTCATACATTCTACACCTTCACAATGATTGACCATTGATTCACAATGAATACCTTCCCAACCATTTTCACATACACAATGAAATGTTGTGTTCGATGTTCCATCACACGTACCTATAAAGCAAAATAAATGTTTTTTTTCATTAATGACTAGTGGAAAAGTGCAGAAAGTATATAAATACCATTATGTAAACATAAATGTGGTTTACAAATTCGGTGATCGAGTTCACAATGAGTACCATTGAAGCCAGATAGACATAAACAAATATATCCATAAGTTGCCATTTTATTGTTTATACATGTACCATCGTTTTCACATGATGTTGCCAGTTTGCATGGACTATTTGAGATATTGCAACTGAGACCGATAAATGTTGAATTAATGCAGGGTTTTGGAACGAAAACCAATGATGAAGTATTAACTAAAGTTAAAATATGAAATACACAATGAACATAGACGATAGTCTTGAGGATATTAAAAGTAGTATTGAAAACAAACAACTTGAACTTCTGCTCATACATAAAATGTACATATTTCAAATTAATGCTTCTTGAAGACTATGACACTTTGAAAGATGAATTAGATCTTTAACTCTCAGTATGAGTTTTACTCATATGATATGTTTAGATCACTTATGCATTTGGAAAACAGTAATGGTGTTACAAGAGTTTTTTCTTTACAACATGTATGATACTAGAGTTAGATCTAAGTCTAGCCAAAGTGTTTGGTGACCTACCATCTACAAATATATATGAGTTACCTAGCGTAGAGAAGATACATGCGAAAATAGTTTTACATACCGTTGCTCCTAGTCGTTACCATAGGTGATGTTTTTTGTGCTGATGTTGTTGATGATGATGATGATGTTGTCGTTGTTGTTGAAGATGATATTGTTGTGGTTGTTGTTGTAGATGATGATGTTGTCGAAGATGATGATGTTGATACTGATGCTGTTGTTGTTGAAGATGATGATGTTGTTGTTGTTGATGGCGTTGTTGATGTTGTTGAGGATGATGATGTTGTTGATGGCGTTTTTTTTGTCCTTGTTGTTAATGTCATAGTTTGATCTGTGTATATTAAAAGGGTTTTTATTTTAGATCAATCCGTTACTTATGCTCTGTATATTTATTCAACTTTCATGCATGTTGAACTTCAAGCTAAAATTATAGTATGCATCTAGATCTAGTATACGATTGATCTGTCCCTTTACGATCATTGGGTATGAGGGCTTAATAATGTTACTAAATATAGTATGCGATGGAAGTATAAAATATGCGACTTCTTTCAATATTTTAAGCCATAGTTTATAAGATCGCACAGTATTTGACAAAAAATTACAAACGATTGACAATATCAATATTACACATAATATGACGTAATCATGCACTGAAAAAAATATATACAGATTTTTGAAAAGACTATAAATTATTTGAACTGATCTGTGCAAATATTATATGTAGGATTCGAAAAAGTACTCTTTTATCTTTGTGTATGTCGTGCCGAAGTTACACTTGTTGCCGAAGTTAAACTTCGACAAGAAAATTTTGTCGAAGTTACTGTGAATGATATTATCGGTTATAATTCGTCAAAAAATCATACAAATTATTTTCTATTAGATCTTAGAAATTTTTTTCGCTAGAATATTGAACCAAATCTATCTTTAAGCATTTTAAATAATATCAACCATCTAAAAGCGAAATTTTCATTCAGTTTGTATTTTTCATCCATTTTGCTACGACACAGATTATTAGAGGCTTGTGGTAATGCACAATGATTTTATGATTTTTTTGACGATTTACAATCGATAATATCATTCACAGTAACTTCGGCACGACATATATATTAACAGTCCAATTCAAAACCACTACAAACGATGTATGTATACATTTCTGATCTTAAATCTGATACGTTCGTATCTCAGTCAAAAAAGTGAAAGGGCAGAAAGTCTTTTAGAATTTCTGTACTCTCACTAAGTCCCGCTTACGGTCAGAACATGAGTGTTAAATTTTTTAATCAGTTTATAAGGCTTCCTCTTAAGACAAAGTGATTATTATATAACAATTTATCAGTAACTGACGTATTTCGTCAATGAACTTCAGGTAAAGTCTAGTTTATTCAGAGGTATATACAACGAAAGCTAAATAAGATGTACAATCAAATTATTCGCTAGTTTACAGAAATGCTAAATAAACGTGTTCTCTTGGTTGCAAAAAAGTATCGAAGAGACTAACCTGTAGGACAAACACCAGAATATATAGTTGAGCAAACACGGACTTCAATATCGTCAATAGCTATACTGTTTCCCTGACCTCCTTTAACGTAGGAAATCATTAATAGTGTGACCGATATAACTGATGCATTGAATAACAAACTATGCTTTTCCCAAGTCATGTTCAACTGCTGCTGTATGGAGCCCGTGGTGACGTTTGCAAGTAAACCTTGTGAATCGGTTATTTCTCGGACTTCAAAGCGAACATTTGGTTTACGTTCTAGAGGAAATTTGACAACATTAGCCAAATATGCAGAGAATTCATAAAATAATCCAATACACAAATTATCGATAGTTGAATTGAAAAGTATACTGTTTTCTTCGTCTTTCACATTGATTATGAGCATATATCCATTCGAATCATTCCCTGTATGGTCTTCTGCTCTAGTATGCCATATCGTCGAAAACAATTGTGAGAAACTAAGATATTGAGGAACTTTATTTACAATACCAAACTTCCCGTCGCCTATCGTAGTCTCAGTTAGACGTATAGGTTCATGACCTGTACTGAAACTGTAGTTACGCGGGTTCCTCTCAGAATACGAAGCATTGCCAGAATCAAATGTAATTAACAAACGTGATGTGTCATTATTGTTGTCATTATCACAACATAAACTACTAGTAGATTCTAAGACGAGAAAAAACATGTAGTTAGTTATTGTTTAAAATAAAGTAAAAGTTCAAGAAAATCTTCAGTCACGACTTTTGTAGAGTATATCAATGAAATCAGGGTGTGAGTATGAGTGTGTTCTCATCCAAATAATCAACACCGCACCTTTGACTTTTCTTTCACAAAGCGGTGCAATAAATACATAATTTAATTGTGCCTCTTACCTGAAAATTTAACCCAATGGAACTGTATTCGATCTAAAGATGATCCTGCTTTACCACTTATAAACGACAGATAATAACCTTCTTTGCTATCGTTAAACGCTCCACCGCCATTACCGCCACATTTGGAGTCAGGTAATTTTCTGTTTTCAGTCGTAACAAATTGTAATGAATCAATTTTTGAGCCACTACCACCGTTAACTTGGATAATTTTTTCGCCAATATGCAAAGTGAAGGGATCGCATTTAGTACTGTTTAATGCGCTACCGTTGCTTCTGCCATGTTCGGATTTCCTAGATGTTGTTCCATCAGATGCTTCATATGTAATATGAATCGATTCTACAAGAAGAGTTTTAGGTGAACTCTTTGACACTTATAATCACATATCAAAATACGTTCAATACTAAATCATAGTTTTTTGTGGACGAGATTTGTCAATAACAAGAAATAAAAGAGCTATGGATAATTCTTAAGTTGAATTGACAGATACATACGATTGTTAAAAATTTTTGGTCACAGTGTGTTTAGAAAGTTGCGCAGATTGACTCCTATTTTCAGCGGATCCCGTTAGAAAATCTTATCTTTTGGTGAAAATCTGCCAATCGTGCTTTCATAATAGCTCAATATCGATACATTCCTCCTACAAGATAAGATTATCTAACGGAGTCTATTGAAAACAGGAGCTAATCTGCGCAACCTTCTAAACACACTGTGTCTTTAGTTCTTAAACACCTGCAGATATTTATCAATTCAATTTATGAATTGTTCATAGCTCCTTCGTTTCTTGTTATCGAAAAATCTGGTTCATTCTCACAAGAGATATAATTTTTGTTATATAAATAATCTATGAAAAATAGCGAAGAAAACTATCTATCAAACATCTGCTTATTAGCTATTTGATCTTCAGCACTATTTAATATATCTCTTAGCTATTTAAAGACTTCTCAGCTATTTATTTATTATAACTTTACTTTCTATATGGGCTATTTAATGCGCAGCACTATTTAATCATATACAGCACCAGTGGCGGATGTAGGATTTTGGAAGGGGGAGCGGGCGATTTTTTTTTTTAGTGTGGGGGGGCGATCGCCCCCCCCTCCCCAAATCCGCCACAGTACGGCACTATTTAATGCTTTGTCTACACTATTTAAAATTTTCTCGGCTATTTATTTACTATGACATTATTTTCTTCAGTAGCTATTTAAACTCTTCTACACTATTTAAGTCTTTGTTCGCTACTTAATCTTCTAGTCATCTTTAAATCAGTAGCTATTTAAAATTGTCCGACACTATTTAAAATACTTGCATAGCTATTTAAATATTTGCTAGTTATTTGATGTTCTCATTATCTTCTAATGCATAGCTAATCAAATCGCCAGCACTAGTTAAACTTGTCTAGCGCTATTTAAAAAATGTTTATAGCTATTTGAATTGTTGCTGATTGACAAAGAAAATGCAAAATGCATATGTATTCTGATTTAATATTGTATCTTGTATACCTGACCCAAATGAGTCATTCTCGAAACAGATACTTTTTAATATATCATTCTTTTATAAATATCTCAAGCTAGTTAAATATTTCTCATGTATTTATTTATATGTAATATATATATATATGTATATTTACGAGCAGCTATTTATTAAAAGTTACAGCTTTTTTTTCGAGCAGGGGATGCGAAAAAAAACCATGAAATATTATATTATCCAAATATTTATTTCATTCTTAACAAAACTTGATTTTTAGTGTATTCATTTTATGTACTCTTCAGAACCGGGATTATTTAAAAAAATATCATAACAATTCAAAGTGTTTGATAAATAATCGGGAAAAAAGAAATTGACAGTTTTCTGTTAGTCAGCCAGCCCATAAAATAAACAGATCAAAAGTTCTATAAAACAAAATAGTCAGCCACTTAAATAATAAAATAGTTGTGCATATTTTTTTAATAGCTATCAATATTTTAAATCGCTACGTTAATGCTTAAATAGTACAGATTTTACATAGCTATTTAAATCAATTGGCTACAATATTGTCGTAAAGGCGCCACATCTTAAATAGCTATGAAACTTTAAATAACTATCCTGTTTAATTAAAAACTATCTCTTTTGAGAAGCTACGAAAAATCTCGGCCTCAAAAAGTTATAATTTGGAACTAAACGTATTTTTACGCAACTTCAGATTGCGATTATAGACAGTTTAAAGACATTGTTACTTACCCATTGCATATTTTCCATAATAGGTTCCTTTGGTCATGGAGATTGTTTTTGGAGTATATATCTTCGAGCTATCAAAGGTTTCTGAATCATTAAATGGTGGTCCGTCCTTGGCTTCATATGGATTGCCGGCCAATATTTCCGGTAGTACTAAATGAAAGTAAAATTAGTTAGCATAATAAATGTAAATTATTAATCTATTTAGCACTGATAAGGCTCTAGGAACTGATATTATCGAAATATTTCGGATTGGAAAGAAGATTTCATCGACTTAGAAGAGAGCAAAAACATCTTAAATTATGAAAATTACCAGCATTCAAAAGGAATTTTCACGAACATTTACCTTTGAGCAATATAGAAGAAACAACTAGCGAGAAGCTGCGAAAGTTTAGGATGTAGAAGTAAATTTCTAGAAAACTATCAAACTTATGACGAGATGACAAACAAACTACTATAAATATTCGATAATTATGAAAATCAGAGAATGCATCCTATTCCGCGATGTTGAACATTGGAGGAATCAGTTCCGCACCGGAATCGATTCCGTCCAATTCCGGGAACTCGATCGACACACAACATAAGACACCCAGTCAAGATTGATCGAGTTCGACCGATTCCGGAATTGTACGGAATTCCCACCGATTCCGGAATTGCACGGAATTCCTACCGATTCCGGAATTGCGGGAATTGGTTCCAATTCCGGAATTCCGTACCGGAATCACACTATCCACCTCACCCACATTTATTGTGTTGTGCTGATAAGTTATCCCGTTTGAATACGATCCAATTCCG